AAAAAAAAAAAAAAAAAAAAAAAAAGCCGTGGTGGTGTAGTGGTAGAGCACGCCTGGTCCTTGGTCACTCATTTGTTGTAAGTCTCTCATTTATTCCAAAAGTTTGTCTCTCTTTAGGGGATCGGGAGGTCGCAGGTTCGGTTCCTGCCTACGGTGTTATTTCTCTTTTGGCCTTGTGTATTATGGATTGTTGAGTATGCTGCTCGTGCTCTTTTGTCATCGTCTATTCTTGGTGGACACGTCCTGCGGATTTTATCTGCTGTCCTGTTTGCTTTCAGGCAGTAGGATGATAACAGGCTTGTACATCTTCACCTAGCAAGATTACGTCCAAAGACAACGGTGACATGCAAAGAAGAAGAAAGATCTATACATAAAAAGTCTCAATAAACAGACCCCTGAAGATACATCTTTTTTCGCTACAAAAATGGTAAAAACGCTATATATCATGCCTTTGCTATAACATCTCTCTCAATCTCTGTCAAACCAACGACTCCAACTACCTTTACTGCCTTCCGTTCCCGCGTAAGCCTTTTCCTCATCTTCCCACTTTCTGCGCTCGACACTTCTTCTCGCATTCCACGCACGTACAAATCTCCACACTTCAGTGTCTGCAAGGTTCCAAGCCTCCACTGCATCACGAATGGGGATACTGTCCCGAGGCCCCTTGCCTTTAAGGACTAATTTTGCTTTGTCGAGGAGTGTGCCTTCACGCACAAGTTCCACCGGGTCAGGGATTTTGCCTTCGGGTTTGGGAGCCGGGGGACGGCGTTCAGGACCGGGGACTGGTGTTTCTGAGTGGCCGTTGTCGAGGGTGGATTCAAGTGTTGGAACAGGGAATCCTAGTGCCCAAGCAAGATCGCGCCGCAATATGGCGTTGTTCTCTTCAGATAGGTTTTCAGGGGTCAGCCAAAGGGAGCGAGAACTTCCGTAGTCGGAGGCGACGGCGTCTTTGAGGTGCGGGATGCGTGCGAAACTGCTCATGCCTGTGCCCAAGAACTCTTTTGTTGCGGCCAAGAGCCATTCGTCGCGTTTTGTTGTGCGGCGGATGAAGCGGATGGTCAAAGAGTCGGTTTGATGTTGTAGAGATGCCATGGTGTAAGGATGAGGTACAGTACCAATGGTAAAGAGATCAGAGGTGTTGCGGAAGAATGGCGGTTGACTGATGCGAAGCGGATGACTGCTCACACAAGGAACGCAGTTCTGGCGATTTGGAGGGCAAGATGAAGGCTGTGGCGACTCAGTACATTGAGACAGGTTGCGAGCAAGCTCAATGGCTGGTTTGACCAGGGTAAACATGTGGTCTGGTAGCGGCTTCAAAACAGCAATGCCGCCGGTGAATGTGTTCTGCCAGGTCGTGTGCAGGTGCGAGATGATGAGCTGAGGAAGCAGACGTAGGCCTTCACGGCTGACGTCTTTGTCGCTAGACGCCAACTTCTCGGCGATGCCCTTGTAGTATTTGTTGATGTTCTTGCTCGAGTAAAAGGCAATAGCTTTCTGGTTGCTGTCGACGTGGATGGTATCTTTGGACAGCATTTCGATTACTGCTTTGGCCTTGATAGGCTTCTTAGCATTGAGAACCTCTTCGATAGCCTTGTTGATCTGATCTTTGGGGCCGTCGAACAAGCCACTCTCCAGACCCTCGTATCGCGTGAGCTGGGGGTATTCACCACGACGCAAATAGGTAAGCAGGGGATCGTCATGTGGCGCCATAGGCAATGCGACATAGTTGGCCATGACGCCGGTACCCATGTTACCCCATGCGAGCCAGCGCATTACATCTGTCTTGAGCTCCTCTTCCAGTTCCAGAGGGATCATCTTTGCATACAGCGGGTTGTTCATAGCCTCAGGACGTCCCAGGACAACAGGCTTGAAGCCTTGAGCCCACCAAGCGCGTCTCCAGATCAGGAGAAGGTGGTGTACAGACTCGAGCGATGTCTCGTCCTTGTACCAATCGGCATCGAAATATGTGTATACTGGCGGTCTCTTGGCCAGAGGAGGAAGCACAGCTCTGTTCTCGTCGAGTGTGATTGTTGACGAGAAGGGGTTCATCCATTTCCAGTCTGAGAACCACCGTGCCTCGCCGCTGGTACTGTTTGCCTGTTCGGGCGGTGGTGAATGTGCCGGCGTTCTGAATATGTTGAGACCTTGAGGAAGACTTGGGGTCTTTGGCAAGTATGAGGATACTCTTCGCGCGCCTTCGTTGACTTCATCGCGGTAAGGAACATCGACGGTCGACTGGCCAAATAGGACGATGCAGAAAAGAATGAACAGAGCCAGGCTGGTCACTATCTGCAACCGCCGGGGCAGGTATGAGCATGGGTTGTATGTGCGCGGTGCCATTGTAAGCAACCTTTGACGATTTGTGCGATCCGTGTCAAGTCATGCGTCGTCCAGTATTTGCGACTTCCCGTCCAGTCGTTCGGCTCGTGGTTCAAGGAAAATTGACCGACTCCTTGCGAGCAATTGCGCGTCATACGGGCTGAGCTTGGCCGAGCTGCTTGCTCGGAGGAGCCTCTTCTCCGCAGTCACCCTGGCCTGATATCTATCGTTCGATACGCTTTCACTTTGTTGATATACGCATGACTTTCAAACCTCTGACCATCATAGTTACCTCACGCAAAAGTACAAGACAGTCCTGGTCATACGCTTTCGATTGTCCTCTTTTGGGGTTATCGATGTCCAGAATGATAAAATTGTACAGATTTTGCTCCAGCCCTAATGTACATGAAAAGAAACACCAATATCCATAAACTCTTTATCTTGCCTGCTCCCAGTTCTTGGAAAGCGCTTCGTCCACCCTTTGTTGGAATTGCTCGGGTCTGGGGCTGCTTGTTGTTTCACCGGCGCCGAGCACATCGACAGTCTCGAATGGCTCCTCCTCGACTCCAAACTCAAGAGGCTCTCCTGTCATCTCAGCATCGAGCAACTCGGAGGGCAACTGGTTGAGCTCGGTAGCCAAAAGTTCGTAGTCCAACTCGGGCAAACCCAGCGAGCGTCTTTGCGAGTTCAAGCGGTCTTGTACCGTCTTTGTGGCCATGATCATACAGCGCAATCTCCAACCCTCCATGCCTAGCGTCTTGATGCGTGCCGACTTCTCGCCCAACAGATACTCGTCCAGTCCTCCGACCTTGTCAATTGTGCGCATGACTCTAGTGCTGACACGAACGCGAATGCGACGGTTCAAAGCCTTGGAAAAGAGAGCCTTGCGCTTGATGTTGGGGTACCAGCTCCTTCGTGTCTTGATCTCGGTTTTGCGTGATACGTTGTTGCCGAATTGAATGCGCTGGCCGCCGTAGAGGCCCTTGTCGGATTGCTTGAACCATCGTGCGGGACCGTATGGGTATGGCGGTACGTTGGCGTGCACCTCGGCGAGAGCGTTCTTGTGTGACTTCCAGGCGAGGCTTGCGCTGGTTGTGAAGGTGCGAGCGGCGGGCGCAGCGTTGAGGCACTGAGGCCTTAGGGCGGCGAACATTGTGATAGTTGTGATATGCGATAGGTCGGAGAATACGAAACAGCCTGTTGAACTAGGCTTCGAGGTTGCTCGGCCGAGGGACAATACGCAGACCAGGTCGTCGTCGCTGCTTGTCTATCTCCAAAAGTCCATGGCGATTTCTGGACTTTGGTCTTGGCAGAACAAATTCTGTTGCCAACGCTTGTGGAACAACAATGAATTGGCTCCACTGACTGGAGTACTCAACCCTTCTGATGGCTCTATCGTCTTTGCATCTTGGACACATGCTTCCTTCTTGCTTGGCCTGGTTTTCCGTGAACAAATCTTCTTTCGATGATTATCTGTTTGACCTCAGTCATTCTATCTGCTGTTCTCAAGACATAACACCCGGCTCAAAGTCAAACACGGTCGCCGTGTCCACAATCTTGCCCACGTCTTCCACGAACTTGAGATGAGAAGGATCCTTGTTTAAGTAGTAATCTCTGTCGGCCTCTGACTGAAACTCTGAGACAAATCCATATTGAAGGCCGTGCTGTTCTTGTTAGTGGGGTCACCCTGTTGCTTATGATGGATGCTCTTACAGCAGCTCCTTCGGGACTATTGTTACTTCCTCCGCCGTATGATTTCATGTATGGTTTGTTGGTCTCGGGGTGTAGACATGTGTCTTTCAGCCCAAGCATACGACTGCAGATCTTGGTATATCGACGTGAGTACTCTTGTCAGGCAGCATCAGAAGCTTCACGTACATCCTTGACCACTGCTGGGTCGGTGCTCTCCTTGAACTTGAACAAGACAATGTGTACAATCGGCATCTTGATATGACAGATCAAAGGTCTTCAATTCGTGATACTTCGTAGGACAAGTAAGAAGTCAAGTTGCATAATCAAATGCGTCCAGTCATGTATGCTGATGACGTTTGGTGGTGCTCGGACTTAAGAAGACCGAGATGCATCCTACCGTCCCCAATATCGAACACATCTTCTTGCAGATACATACAGTCACCACATCCTCGACTCGAATCATGCCTGAAAGATAGATGAGAGTGTCGCCGCACGTGAAATATGCTGTAGACGCGACGCTTGCCGGAAATCGACACTGTATACATTGTTAGCAACGCGATGAGTAGTTCATCACACGATCAGCCAGTTGATCTGGTCATTCGATTTACCGCTGCCATACCCGACGTCGTGATCAGGATACCTTCTGCGACATCCACTACACCGCTGGGCCTGCGACAGCAAATCAGATCGCAATTGCCTGCCTCGTACGCCGCGAATCGCCTACGTCTCATCTCTGCAGGCAAGGTCCTCCCCGATGCGACAGCGCTTTCGAAATGTATCAATATTCCTCCACCACCGCCTCGCTCCAGGAATGATCTAGCTGAAACAAAGGACAAAACCAAGGGCAAAGCTCCCGCAGAGAGTAGTGTCTCTAGGGTCTACATACACTGCTCGATCGGCGATGCTCTAACGCCAGGAGACATTGCTTCAGAAGCAGAGGCTGCCGAAAAGGCCGACAAAGCACTCTTGACAGATGCCAAAGTCGAACCTGCTTCCGCGCAAAGTTCAGATGCTACAACCACCTCGTCCGCGCCTGCTCCACGGGGCTTTGATCGCCTCCTCTCTGCCGGCTTCTCTCCTGGAGATGTAGCCAACCTCCGTGCACAGTTCATGGCCATTCAAGCACATACCCATACTCCAGATACGATGCCGACAGGAGATGAGCTTCGGTCGCTCGAAGAAAGATGGCTTGAGAACGACCCTGCAAATGCTGCGAATGGTGGAGCAGCGGGTACAGATGAAGAAGGTGGATTAGAAGATATGCTTTGGGGTAACCTCATGGGCTTCTTTTGGCCCATTGCAGCTGCGTGTTGGTTGATGCGTGAAGAAGGCATATGGACGAGACGTATGCAGATTTCCGTGCTTAGTGGACTGCTGGTCAATCTCACATTTGGCTTTTTAAGAATAACGTCTTGAATTGCCGCAGGAATGTATGTTCCTGTAATGGAAGGTGTCTTGAGATGCAGAATTTGGGCATGGGCAAGTGCCGCCTCGAATGATTCACAATCGTTCCTTCCTCAACCACAGCATCTCAGCTTCGTCATCTCGATTCGTCACCTCGAAACAATCTGAACAGCTTCGTCGACTTTCTGTGTTCGGGCATCATTCTCCAATCATTCATCTAACCCTAGACATATCACCACCATCTCGAGCAAGCAACCAGGATGGCGCCCAAGAAACCCAAGCCTCCCAAAAAGCCGAAACCACTCGTCAAGAAACCTGTCAAGAAACCCGGCAAAAAAGGCGTCAGGTTGCCCAGCAAGAAGCCCATCAAGAAGCTGCCCGTAAAAAAGCCACCTGTCAAGAAGTCACCACCCAAGAAGCCCAAGCCGCCTGCAGAGAAGGCTCCTGCTAAGAAGGTCCCTGCCAAAGGACCTCCAGTCAAGAAGTCGCCCGCGAAGAAGCCGCCGGTCACGAAGCCAAGTAAGAAGCCTCCAGGAAAGACACCACCAGGAAAGAAGCCGCCTGCAAAGAAACCACCAGTCAAGACATCTCCTTCGAAGAAGCCGCCATCCAAAAAGCCGGACAAAAAGCCGGACAAAAAGCCAGTCAAGAAGTCCTTACCTACCAAGAAGTCAGAAAAGAAGCCAGCGCCTGTCAAGAAGCCCGAAAGCAAGCCGCGGTCTGTCAACAAGCCTGACAAGAAGCCTGACAAGAAGCCTGACAAGAAGCCTGACAAGAAGCCTGACAAGAAGCCTGACAAGAAGCCGGACAAGAAGGCTGATTCGAAAACACCGTCAAACAAGAAGCCTGAGCCCTCGAAACCTTCATGGGAGTCGGTTCTCAAAAACCCCTTCAAGAAGAAGCCACCATCTGACCAAAAGCCAAAACCGGAGGAAAAACCACTGCCAGCCAACAAGACCCCGTCGTCTGATAAGAAGCCACCACCAGCCAGCAAGCCGTTTTCAGAAAAGCAGCCACCATCAGAGAAGAAGCCAACATCAGACAAGACACCACGGCCAGACCACAAGAACCCATCAGACAAGAAGCCAGATACCAAGCCGCACTCAGCTGACTCATCTCCGACAAGACGACCATGGAAGCCAGGCCTCAAGAATCCTTTCAAAAAGAAGCCAGCGCCTGACAGTAAGGCACCATCGGACAAGAAACCATCATTTGACAAAGCGCCATCGTCCGATCAGAAGCCATCCCCTACGGCAGATCCATCGCGTGATCAGAAACAGGTGCCCGACCGAAAGACACCCTCTGACAAGTCAGAGTCTCCCAACCCTTTTCCCCGGCTACAGCCATGGAAATCAGCTCTCAAGAGTTCCTTCGATAAGTTGCCAGTGCATCAAGGCTCTAGTGCAGCGTCATCATCCAGCGCACCCTCTTCTAGAGCATCATCTATTGCCAGAAGCTTGTGTCCAAGAGCGAAAGCAAGGTCGAATCCAATGCCCCCGATCGATAAGAATGATGAATCGGCACCCACTCCTCAGGATCTGAAATTAGCTTGGATGCTCTTGCCATTTGCCCCCGCTGCGTCGAGTGCATTGGCTGGTGCTGATACTCCGAAGGTCCTGGCAACATTTTTGTTAAGCCTTCTGACTCTAAATGTGGGTGGCGCTGCAATGGCAGCCGTACAAGTGCACAAGCGGGAGGCAGTGTCCTCTTCGAACACGTTTTCCTCGAGTAACGTATCCTCTTCCGGCTGCAAATCTTCCTCGCAGAATGTGTCCTCTTCAGGCCACGCGACATCAGCAAACACAAGCGGTTCTTCCTCATCACTCAAGAGTAGCAGTAGCAGCAACAGCGTCGGCAGCTCTTCTTCAAGCTCAAGCAGGTCTTCATGGAGCACTGCTTCGTCCAGTAGTTCGTCCTCAAGCTCTTCGTCATCTAACTCCTCGTCGTCAAGCTCGTCGTCATCGAGCTCTTCATCATCAAGCTCGTCCTCAAGCTCTTCGTCAAGTTCATCATCGAGCAGTTCATCGTCAAGCTCTTCTTCAAGCTCATCCTCGTCAAGTTCTTCTTCATCAAGCTCTTCTTCGAGCAGTTCGAGCGGGTAGCAATACTGAGGGATGCTTGTGCTATTGTTTGATATACGAACCAAATTGCCTAGTCACATCCTGATCCTGTTCAGTCGTGATTAGGTGTGCGTTTTACTGTGATTAATATTTTTCATCTGCAACCGTTCTTCAGAGACTACAAGATCATTGTTCGGGATGTTTATGTATGATGATAAGCTGTGAGATTGCTGAGCCGGGTGTGCATGCCGATTGAGGCTGCGCAAGGAGAGAAGACGAAAGTGTATATCTATTCGGGCCGTTCCAAGATTGCCTCGATGAGACGATCACATACCAGCACACCGGTATATCACCATTAGACCTCTGGTTAGAATTGCTGAAATAGTGAGTTAGCGGTCGGCAATCTTGAAAGAGGTGAGGTCCCTCGGCCCGAGCTGCCTGAAATGTAAAGAAGGATCTCGCCGCTGGTTGCCGAAGCATCCGACTCGGGAGCTCGCAAAGTAAACAGCTGAGACGTCATGAGAGCAACTCAAAAAAAAGAAGAGAGAGCTTCAATGGCTTGAACATTTCGGCAGTTGCGTAGATAGAAGTCGTTGGGTATATAAGTACTAGATCAAAGGTCTCGGTCTCTGAATCAGTTTTTACGAACAACTCTCAAGAGACATACCTACACTTCTGCACTACTTATACCATAAACTTGAAGCATCATGGCAGAATCCAAGAGCCTCCCTACCTTCCTCACAAACACCGAGTTGCACCCTTCCTTTGACGAAGATATTAAGAATACACACTTGATCTACGACTATGCTGCTCAAGCCCCCGATGGCACACCGGAAAAGTGGCGCTATGAAATGTGGTTCTTCTCGTCCAACCGTATCGTCTGTAAGTCTCCTCTCTTCAAGCCCCAATATCCAAAGAGGTCCATACTAACTTCAGACTGAAAGACGCCATCCACGGCGGCCCCATGGCCGGCCGCATAAACTACCAAACCTGCACTTATCAATGCATCCGCCCCGGCGAACTCTGGCAATGCAACTGGCTCGAAGAAACCGGCACAATCTGTTCCCTAGTCTACGACATTCCCAACCAAAAGATTACCACTTTAATCGGTTTCTCCAAAGGTCATTGGAATAACCCTGAACAGGCCAGAGGAGATAAGAGAGATCCAGAGACTTTTGAGAGGTTCAAGGGGTTGGCTAAGCAGGGAACCCAGGTAGAGAGATTTATGCTTAGTGAGCAGGCGGAGATTCAGGAGAAGTTCAAGGGTAAGGGGAATTTGGTGCCTATCTCTGGGGATGAGGAGACTTTTTAGATGAGTGGGTGTGGAGTTGATTGTGTGGGATGGATCTGATTTTTGGCGTCCGGTGGTAATGACATGGTATAGACAAGAGAATACACAAAGTAATAAACAAACCTTGATTACATTTTATCATCACACAAAAGCACAAGGGGCACAGCAGTAGTACAAAAGAAATCCAGTTGGTGGGTATCATAAGCAACATAGACCCAGAGAAGGCTTTGAAAACATGAAAATTTTTGGAAAAGTTTCTTGAGAGACCTTTTTGGAATGTGAAGAGCATTGTTCAAAAAACGAAACTCCCATACGCTTTTGTGATGCCCTCCTTGTTGATATCATTGGACATTCCAGTGACGACCATATCCCGACTCCCACGAAGCCGTTTTTGCATGGACTTGACTCCTGACCTATAGACACGACTTGCATGTCTTGTGTCTCAGCCAGCCAGCCTCGTAACGTGACCCATCCTAACTCGCGGCGAGATGGCAAGTTTACTTGCGCATGGAAGAAGCGCGGCGCTTCTTCATCTCCTGCTGCTGGGACTTGGCCTCGGCAACACGCTTGTGGAGGATGTTGGCGTACTCGGCCTGAGAGAGTGTTAGTGGGATTGCGAAGCGTATAGACAGAGGAACAGATGAAACGTACGGCGGCGTCCTTGGAAGCCTCGGCGTTGCGGCGCTTGAGGGCCATGCGGTGACGCTTGTGCTGGAGACGCTGGGGAGTAACCAGGCGCTGGATGCGAGGAGCCTTGGTGTAGGGCTTGGCACCCTCCTTCTTGGGCTGGACCTCACGACGGATGACGAACTTGCGGACCTATTTCACGACACAGTCAGCATACATTCACAACTCAGACTCGATCCGTAAAGATGTTGTAATCTTTGGACCGGCGACGATGGAAAGGGGGGTACCCACATCATCATCCTTGCTGAGACCGAAGAAGCGGCGGATCTTGGTGGCACGCTTGGGGCCGAGACGCTTGGGGTGAACAACGTCGGTCAGGCCGGGGATGTCGTTCTCACCCTGCTTGACAATAGCGAGGGCGAGGACGGACAGGTCCATGGCAACGATGCAGCCGCGGACGGACTTGCGCTTGCGCTCACCAGTGCGGCGGGGGCGGTAGCACGAGTGGCCCTCAGCAAGAAGCAGACGGACACGGGTGGGGTGCATGACACCCTGCTTCATGGGGAAACCCTGCTTGTCGTTTCCACCGGTGATCTTGAGGACGTAGCCCTTCCACTCGTCACCGAGGGAGTCGGCCTGGACCTCCTGACCCATGCGACGGTCCATGAAGATACGGAGACGGCGCTCATCCTCAACCTCGATGAGCTTCTGGGAGCCGTTGGCGGGGTACGAAATGTTAAGCTTCATGGTGGCTCTAAGAATCTGGTCAGTACGGAGCGTTCGGGCTGACGAAGGCTGTGTGGCAGTCGGCTAGGCTGTGGGTTGAGCTGTATGGCTGCGCTAATCTTCTGGATGGTCGACAAGGGTGTGCGAGTAAACGTTGTGCGACTGGATGCAGTTCACGGTGCGTGTGTGGTTCGAAAATTCTTGTCGAGTGCGTCGAGCGTCGAGCGCAGAAATTTCTCCATGCCGACGAGGGCATCTCTTTGACAGCCGTCTGTCCTGCTCGACAGCAGTCATGTGTCTCGTGGTCGTGCGCGTGGTGCGCACAGTGGTAGCGATCGAAAAAGTCGTGTGCAAGACGTGTCTGCAGGCGCCGCAATTGTCGTTGTAGCCGTCGATGTCCAGAAGATTTTTGCAAGCCATATGCTCATGCCACACTGCCTATCGTCCATACCAACAGCATCAAGGGTGATTCTTACTATTGTCGAGGATTGTCGTCGTCGGTGGTCGCTGCGCTGTTCGGAGAAAATGAGATTCGAACTTTGCTGTGCTGGATTTTCGCACGGGCTTAGTCAGCCGTGGGTGCGTTGCTTCACGTGACACGGACCTCAAGCGACTCTCAGCCACGACCAACTTTACTTTGAGCCATGCCCTGGGGACTGCAACGAATTTCCGATGCTCGTTTGACTTTTCAGGTATTCCTTCATGATTTTACATGAATCACTTTTCGGTTTACGAAGATTCATCGTAATGCCAATGAGAACTTGACCGCATGCATAACTTGGTCGAGCATTATGTGGATGGAACATATCTCGGGTCAGATCACCATCTGTTGCTGAAAGAAGTGCTTCCACCCATCAAGAGCCTATTCATTTCGTCGCTTCTTGTTGGAGGAGCTTCTGTGGCCTCAAAGATTGCTTTCCCGACATTCAGAATGAGAACTCGCTTTGGCCTCGATAATTGCTCTCTCATAACACTTGCAAAAAGAATATGGCTTCTATCGGTTCCTGTGCAGACAATTCATAGCCCAAACGAGTAAACTCCTCAATCAAAGTGTGTGGTAAATTTGATAGCAAGAGAGAAGATACAGCTTATAAAGAATTAAAATGTCACCAAGACTTAGAATATCTTTCCATGGTTTCAACGCGCTCTTAATCCTCTTGTGTGTTCGGTATACATAAGTTCCTGACGATCCTTGATACCACTACATATTTGCTGACTTTCTGCAAAAATTCAGGACCAAAAGGACTCGGCAAGGCGTGAGCACACGAGTCTTGGCATGCAGAGAAAGCACAGAAAGCACAGAAAGAAGAAGTTGTCCCTCTAAGTCTCCGATCCGAAGGCAGGGAATTCGGGTGCCGAAGTGCCATCGCAGGAGTACTGGACGAGGAATGGCGAGTTGGAAGTGTCACTGTTCAAAATCACAGTACCGTCTGGAGCTGTGAGAGTGAGGTAGAAGCTGACAGCTCCCTGGGCCTGGCCAAAGACAACACGGAATGGCAGGTACTGGCCTTGAACGAGGTTGACGGTAGCGGAAGCCGAAGGATTGCCAAAGATAACAGCAGTCGCATCGGCATTATCACGAGTCCATCCCGAGTATGCATTCGATCCGAGCCACAACAAAGCAATATCGTCGGGCTGAGTTAGGGTGAAGGTGTAGGTGCCACTCGATTGGGCGAAGATATATCCAACATGGTTCAGGCTGAAATAGTCAGACTCGAAGGTTTGGGTGCTTCCGTAGATGGATATTTGGCCGACATCGCTCTCGTACAGTCCACCACAAACGGAAGCCGTAGTCTGGTACTCGGGAGCCTCTGATTTAATCACTGTCGGATCGTAGTCGCTGTATGTGTTGTCGGAGTTGTACACCGAATTGGGGTAAATCGCCTGAACCAATGTAAGTAAATGCGTGAGACGTAGCAGGAGATCACAGATATGATACTGACCCATCGGATACCCTCGTTGTTGCAGCTTGGAGGCGTGGGACAGTAATTAACAGTTGAGGTTGATGTAGTAGGAAGAGTAGTGGTTGGCGTGGTGACAACGGTCGCTGTGATGCTCGAATAGGTGGTCGAAGTAGGGTAGGCGGTGGTCGAGGACACTTGGGTGAGGATCACGGTCGATGTGGGAGTTGGAATGCCGAGACAGCCGCAGGCAGTGGAAATTGCACTACAAGCAATGTTCTTCAGAATAGCGGGACATCCTCCGCAGACACCAGGAATACTAATGCTAGCAGGAACGGTGGCGGATTGAGAGCTGCTGACGGAGCCTGACTTGGCGGTGGTAGGAGTCGTATGTGCTTGGAAATCGCGCTTGTTGACGGCAGTAGGAATGCAGGTAGTGATCGTAGTTCCGCTGTGAGATTGTCAGTCGACATAAAAGATGCATGAGATGAACGAAATTTGCTCACAAGGTAGAGTAGGCAGTGACCGGATCGGCGGAGCTTGTAAATGTAGATACTGTGGTGAGGATGGTTGTAGTTGCAGCCGACGTGAACAACGCCGTGGAGGAAACAGTCTGGGTGGTGGTGACGGTGGGAATGTGCAAGAATGATGAGCAGAATGGAGTTGCCGAGGGATAAAGGCGGAGGATGTCCACAACCAGATCGACCGCAGGACACACTACCGAATTGACTGCAGGATCAACCAACGGAGCGGCGTTTGCAAGGCCGAGTATGGCCAAGGCAGCAGTGGTCTTGCGATTCATTGTGTAAGCCCGAAAATACTGGAAGTTTGAGTGGTTATTGTTGTAAGGGATGAGATGAAATCTGGTTGTACTCCAAGAGGACAGGGATCCAGAAATTTATACCTAGAACCGCAGCAAGCTTGAAGGTTGGCCGAGGCAGCTGAATCTTGCCATCAATGCAAACCAGTATGCGTCTTCACCTTTGACCTATCCGTCTTCGGAGAGTGGAGTTCTCACTGTTCTCCCTGTTCACTCATACGTAACAGGTCTGGAGCCTAACGTGCACACCTATAGTCCATACGTTATTGCAACTGTCAGCTGAAGCCTAGTATTGGCCCCGGAGATACCTTTAGCAGGCCCTCTCAGCTGCATGTTAGGCGTGGTCGACCTGCGAGTCCAACAAAGACTTTCGAGTCTGGCCCCGTATCAATGCAGCGCTGGAATTACCCCTAGAAGGTTTGAGGGCTCTCGTGTTGACAGGAGTGAAATCTGAGGCTCCATACTCAACGAGCTGAAGTTTTGAGCAACGTCTAGAGCGTATTTCTCGTTCTTGAGATTGCGTTAAAATGCAGGACTTCGAAGATCATCCGCTAAAAGCTCATACTGCTAGGTCATCCGTTACACTACTATTGCTTAGTCGAATACTGTGAAAGCTTGTCGGACAGGCGGCACGAGGGCGGCGCGGTCCGTGATACCAAGACATCAGAACCGTCCTAGGAACATAACGCAGAACGGCATCAAAAGCATCCCATAAGCGGAGCTGTCAAACTGTTAGGTGTTGTTGCTCAGACGTTTTAGCCCAGGGGTACTCGGTCTATCCGAAGAAAGCTTCAGCTGAGCGGCTTGGTCACAGACCTCCGAAGTTGAAGTCAGAAGACAACGTTGACCTTTCGGAAGGGGTTTTGATGGGAATGAAGGACACGGGGGTCAAGGGTTGAGTATGTGATGGGAACTGTGTTCGTCAGTGATTGAGATGGTTGGAATTCTTGATGTCAGCTTACTAACTGTTCTCAACATCTCGAAGGCAACCCTGGAAGGCAACTTTGCAAGTCAGGTAACTGTCCTGGGCGTGCCAGCCCCATAAAGCGAACTATGGGTTTCAGCCGCACGCCGTTCATCATCATGACCTTTAGTAAGTTCAAGTCAAGTTCTGAGTGCTATATTGACTGGGCCTTGTTCATATGTGAAGTGGTCTAACATTCTATAACGGCCCAGCAGCATGAATTCTTTTCCATTTCTCACTTCCTACTATGGGAGCCCGTGTCTCAATGTATTTTGCACATGGAGAGGCTGAAGCGATCTTCTGCTAAACATTTCCGAGTTCTAGGAACAAAAATGATTTCGCAAGCAGAAAAGTTCATATTGGGTTGATAGCGTTCTTCGGCGATCCATTTCCTGCCTGTACAATTCGTCTAATTCATACATGTATCCCTCAATGGGAATTATTCTAACCATTCATCTGGTAGATCCATCCTGGCCAACCTGGCTGGTTGCCTGATCTTCCCGAAAGATTCTTCCAAAACATCGCAATGGTCTCCCTCCATCATTCTATGCCAGTGTATGCTCATGCTCTTATCTCCTCGTTCATCTTACAATGTTACCATCAATGTCCTTGATATTTCCCATCTCGTCCCAAGAACCAAGGACATCGTGCTTCTCCGTACGAAATCTGAAGTCGTTACAGGGGTATCCTATCAGCTCTTCTTGCCCCTTTCGTGCCACAACAGTCCACTTCGAGATTGGGCCTTTCGCTGGGTTGTCCACGGGTATCGAAGTAGATTCGTTATCACATTTCCTCTTGACGATTCTGGATAGCGAGTATCTTCGCGATGGTGGAGTGTTGAAAACGTCGTCAGATGGAGATGGTACAACAATGTTGTCCAAGTAGGCGAACTCATTTTCTCCAAGACTCAGAATGTTTCGAGTACCTTGCTGGTATACCACCTCAATATCGACAAGGTGGGATGGTCGTGGGCTCGAATGTAATAACGGTGGCGGTGTCGCGCCAGGAGGCGATGACAATAACTCCATTCGTGGTGCTGATGGAGGAGGTGGTGGCGGTGGTGTCGAGCGCCTGCGACCTTTGCACAATCTAGGCGGTGGTCTAGAATGACGTCTGCGACATGGAGACGAGGACGCAAGTCGCGTGAGAGATTCTGGAGACCAAGGCCGGGTGTCCGGGCACGGTGAGGATTGTTCTAGTCGACGAGGGTGCATGCTTTGTTGCGCACTATGCGAATTGTTTTTAGTCGCTTCCTGAATTTGGTGGATTTCGTACTGTGCGTTGAGATATGTTGTATCGTACTTGACATCTTCATTTCCAGAAGCATGGCTGAAACTCTGAGACAAATTATCGATGTTGAATGGATTTTTTGTCTCGTTGTTTTGCCATGTCCTGAATCCCCAACCATCATTCTCCTGGAAGCCAACCTCATTATCTTCTTCGACGAAGCGTGAGTTTTCACAAGAAGATTCCACTTTGACTCTCTTCGGCAACGAAGCACTTGGTCCCGGGGAAAGAGGCCTTTTCATACTTGCGACTTCGTGTTGCTCGTTCCTGAACAATGGTTGAAAGTGGCCAGGGACAGCTCGCAACACGAAAAGATCAATTTCAACACGAGACTCCGCGAGGACTTGCTAGTTGGGATGGATCGGCGTCGCTGGATGATTCTTGAGACTATGTCGGCAGCGTTATGCAGTATGATGTACGGTGTAAAACAGACCGGTTCTTTGAGGATGGAAAATAAAAAGAAAGCTGGCGATAAATCGACGCATCAATGTATTTGGCGTCCTATGAGTCAAGATATTCACGTGCTCGCTAAGGTGAAAAACTTGTTGTGCGTCGCTCGTGACTGTATGCGCAAGTTCGCTCGTTGTCCCGTATTCGTGATGGTGGTGTGCCAACAACGCAACATTCTTGAGTGTTGCCTTTGAGCTGAAGTCTTCTTTGTTGTTGTGAGATCACTGTCAACACTGGGCGATCATTGTTAGCATAGACCCTTAAACCTTGTGACCTACCAACCTCTTGTTTGGCATTGTGAGTGTTCGTCTGGCGTTGAGCCGGGCTTTCTCAATTTCCAACGCAGCGCATCGCCTTCACGTGCTCGCTAGACATAACCTTGTATCAACACAAAGCACAAAGCGCCTTTCGCACCGACGACACAAAAAGCTGTCATCGCAAGCCAAATATCATGAAAGCACGTTTGACTTGATCTTCATGCCTGAAGCAGAGCCATAATGGGCAAGCCGCTCATGGTCAAAGTCCATGTGAAGGCGTGCTGGTGATATCAGATGGCATTCTGATACTTCTTCTGCTCCGTATGCATTGTTGCTTGGTAGCTTTCAAGCTTCTCTCTGATTGCGGATAAAGACATGTTGGAGAAGCCACAGTGGTTGTGGGTTATAATGCCAGCACCAGGGTCATATCTGGAGACAGACCTACTGCTTGGGGAGCCTCTGAATAGCCGCGCTTGCTAAGAGGTAGCCGGTCAGGTATGAAACTGTAATAGCTTTCTTCTTTCAGGGTCATGGTAAGGTTGAGATTTGTGATCGCGAAGGTTTGACGGCAGAGAGATCGCGATTTGGGCTATCGAGGCATGACTGTGATATTGGCAACTGAGCAGTGGCCCAGAAAGCTCTCGTGAATTAAATGTATTCGAAGGTCGCATCTGATACCGGCGACATTTTTTTGGAAAGGAACAAGCCTATGAGAGTCTGAGACGTCACCCAAATACAAGGTGTTCATGTAGCGATATCGTCCTACTCTCACCATGATCACCAGCGTCGACAAAACATTATGCTCAAGCGACGATTTATCGGCCAATAGGCGGTCGAGGGGGTTACTCAGCTTCAGAAATGTAAAAAAAATATTTGTTGATATGGCATTGTGGCTCGAGCAGTTTCCCATTCCTTCCTGGATACTGATCGGTTCTTCGGGCAGACAATTCTCGTTCCGAATCGCTTAGGTAATGACAGCCGCGAAGATGCGGGGTAGATTCGTGGAGGTTTAACCGCGCGAGGGCGCTTGCGATTGCCATCTGGTCGAACCTTCCTACAAGGCGGCACAAGACACGCGACTTCATCTCTTGAAAGTGCTTCTTCCTTTTGCAACAGACTCTTCTCGATGCAGGCCTCGTCTTTTCACTGGCGAGCCAAGAGCGTGCCAGAACCTTTCCATGCGTGTCGGCTATCACTTACTCACAGTTGAAAACATCCTTATCAGCTTGGCAGTGGGCAAGTGGCATACCAAGACCGCCATCGCATGTTGCCCAGAGTCTGCCCAGAGTACCGGTTCGCGGAAACCCCCTCAACAACACCAATCGATCTTCGCCCCCGAGTTCGCCCTGGCAAGCTGGCCCAATTCGAAGAGCCTCGACCACTCGTTCAAGCAGATGGTCGTATATCAAGGTCACATAATATCATCCGTGCAGAACTCTTAATCGGGATGTTTCGGTGTAGGGCGCACATGGCGTGCTAAGGCGCGCTGCTATGGCTGAGGGAGGCATATTCTTGGCGTTTACGAGTAAGAATGTGATAACACCTTAGGATCATGGAAAAGGAATATCACCAATAGTCCACCGGGTGATCTTTCTGGCTGATAAGAAGAAAATATTTCTGCAAGTATGGCCATGGCGCTCTGGGCAGAGATATCAACGAATGTGTCGTCTTTCATAATAACACCACTGCATTCCTTTTCCCTTTCCTCTTGTGTCCTCTCCTCTCATCCTTCAGGCACTAGAGATTTCTCATTAGTGAGAGATTGCTCCTTCTGGCGGTAAACCTGACCTCCACGTTGACCGATCGCTGGGCAACCTCTACTCCAGCCGCTTTCGTACGTAATAGCCGCTCTAGTCCTGAGGAGTAGTTTTCTTTAAAGATCCCCGGAACTGATCGCATGTTCTTCTCCAGATTCCCCCACAGTCCCCCACATCTTGAGCTCGTGGTGCAACTTCATTCATTATGGCTTCCTATGAGAAAGGAGGACCCGATCCTGAGATCGCAAAGACTGCCTCATATGACTATGAGGCCCACGATATCGCTGCCATCAAGGAGGGCACCACGACTGAGGCTCCTGGAGAGCAGCTTCAGCGTGGCCTGCACTCGCGACAGGTTTCTATGATTGCTATCGGTAAGTTCTACCGAGTCTCAGGACACTAGCAAGACCTAACTATCTGCAGGTGGTGCACTTGGTACTGGACTCATTATCGGAACTGGCAAAGCTCTTGCTCAATCTGGTCCCGGATCTATCTTGATCGCATACAGTTTCGTTGGTCTTCTTGTCTGGATTGTCATGGCTGCTGTCGGTGAGATGGCTGCTTGGATCCCCGTTGCTGGTGGTTTCAGTCCTTTTGCTACTCGTTTCTGTGACCCTGCTCTCGGTTTTGCTCTCGGATGGACCTACTGGTTCAAATACATCATCGTCACACCAAATCAGTTGACAGCTGCGGCGTTAGTCATATCCTATTGGGTCGATGCGGACAAAGTCAATCCAGGAGTTTGGATTACAATCTTCTTGATTGCCATCATCGCTATCAACTACCTGGGTATTCGCTTCTTTGGAGAGTTCGAGTTCTGGCTGTCATCGATCAAAGTGCTCGTGGTTTGTGGCATGATCATTCTTTCTCTTGTCCTCGCGCTCGGAGGCGGTCCAGATGGCGACAGAAAGGGCTTCAGATATTGGCAAAACCCTGTAAGTACAACTCTTCGAGACAGCAAACATATGCTGATTGCCATATTTGCATAGGGTGCCTTCAAGGAGTACAAGGGCACAGGTGACGCAGGTCGCTTCTACGGATTGTGGAGTTCGATGGTCACTGCTGTCTTCGCCTATCTCGGTACCGAGTTGGTCGGTGTGACTGTTGGCGAGGCCGAAAACCCTCGCAAGACCATCCCCAGAGTAAGTGAAACTCAATACATATTCTGCTTACCGTACTGACAATGCACGCAATACAGGCCATCAAGTTGACTTTCTTCCGTATCGTCTTCTTTTACATCTTGTCCGTTCTGCTGGTTGGCATGATCGTCCCTTACAATTCCCCCAAGCTCGCCTTCGCTACCAAACAGTCCAACTCTGCTGCTGCATCGCCTTTTGTTGTCGCCATTCAGCTTGCTGGCATCAAGGGCCTTCCTGGATTCTTGAATGCTTGCATCTTGATCTTCGTCTTCAGTGCCTGCAACTCCGATCTTTACATTGCCAGTCGTACCATCCACGGTCTTGCCCTCCGTGGTCAAGCACCTAAGATCCTGGCCAAGACCGACAAGCGTGGTGTCCCTTACTACTCGCTCGGTCTTTCATCGCTGTTCTGTCTTTTAGCATACATGAATGTCTCGTCAAGCAGCAAGGAAGTCTTTGGCTACTTTGTCAATCTGACCACCATCTTTGGTCTCCTGACCTGGATCTCCATCCTGGTCACCCACATTTGGTTCCGTCGCGCTTGCAAGGCTCAAGGCGTTACTCCTAAGCAGTTGCCCTACGCCGCACCCCTCGGCATCTGGGGCTCTTACTTCTCCCTCTTCTGGTGCTGCCTCATTGCTCTGACCAAGAACTTTTCCGCCTTCACCCACGACAAGAAGACTTATGGCGACTTTGACTACAAGAACTTCATCACTGGATACTTGGGTATTCCTCTGTACTTGATCCTTCTCTTTGGATACAAGTTCATCAAGAAGTCTAAGGGTGTCAAGCCAGCTGAGGCTGATCTGTTTACTGGCAAGGATGTCTTTGACCGTGACGAGGAGTATTGGAAGGCCGTTGAGCATGAGAAGGATGCTAAGCGTGACGGCGGCTGGTTCTACAGAACTTTCCTGTCTTGGCTGTTCTAAGCTGTTCGGATGGTCGGAGTAAGGAAGGACGAGGATGATTCGAAGTTATGATTTTCTTCATCTTATGTATGGGTCATGATGATTATGCAGTTGCGATGTAAGACTGGTGGTAGTCATGTCTGAATCACATTTGTATGACACTTCGCACTACTTTCGTGAAATCATATGAGGTTACATCTCATATCTCGTCCATACGTGTGTGCATAAATAATCTAGCGTATACTGGAGCCAATTGATCCAACAGCGTCTAGAAGTGACAACCCTTTAAACCTTCTCGGCAGTGGTCTCCTCGTGATGAATAGTGATCGAACCCTTTCTCTCGACTTCCTCAGCACGTCTCTCGAGCTCGTGAGTAGCAAAGCCTTTGCGACCACCAGCAGCAGTTCCAGGCACAAACAGGGGAGCTTGGGTAAAGAGATAGTTCATCTCCTCAAGCGGGCGACCAGCAGTCTCAGGAAGAATAGCCCAGAAGAAGAGGGCGTTGGTGAAGTTGCAGACGATAAAGACAATATACCATCTCCAGCCAATGTTGGCAATAGCAACGGAGGTGGTCTGACCGATCATGGTGTTAAAGGCAAAGGAAACCATAGTTGCGATCGAGACACCCTTGGAACGTGTTCTGGTGTCGAAGATTTCGGCAGGGATGATCCAACTTAGGGGACCGCAAGTGGACGAGAACGAGAAGTTGTACAACCAGCATCCGACGACGATGAAGCCCCAACCAGCTCCTTTGTTCGAGTTTGAGGGGTTATTGGGGTCCGGAGGGAACTTGGCAAGCAGGCAGGTTGCAACAATGAAGCAAAGAGCATTACCAATGTTTCCGAGGATAAGAGGCCAGCGACGACCAAATTTGTCAATCAACATCAGACAACAGAATTGCGCCAAAAGAGCAATGAGCGACGAGATGGCTTGGTACTTCAAAGTGTCGTCTCCAGATATTCCGATTTGAGCGAAAATCTCGACCGAGTAGTATTGGATGACTGATACACCGGTCATCTGAACGGAAGCTTGCAGAGCAACAGCGATGAACAGGCGACGGAAGCTTGACTTGTTGGTGAAGAGCTCAACGTAGGACTTTGCTTCGTGTTCTTTCTCGTAGGTAACAGCGTCTTGGATAGATTCGAACTCGGCGATGACCCAGGGATCTTGAGCATTGCCGTTGGAGTGCAGTCTAGCGAGAGTCTGAAGACCCTTTTCAGTTTGTCCATTCGACATGAGCCACTATTCAAGTGTCAGCTACGTTTTTCACCTGTATCATAGCCAGCAAGATACATACTCTGGGAGACTCGGGGAAGAACAGGATCAATGTACCGAGAAGCAAGGCAGGAGCCATCTGAATACCGAGAGGGATTCGCCATTGCCTGCTGTCGTGGTCTCCATAAGAGGTATAGCAACCGTAAGCGGCCCAAGATGCAACAAAAGCACCAATACCCAACATGAACTGTTGTAGAGATGTTACACGACCACGAATACTGGGGTGGGCCAATTCAGCTTGGTACAGGGGGATGATCATGACCAGCATGCCAACACTGCATTAGAGTCAGTTGCGAGCACTCCCGAGTTCAAAACTTGGTCAAACTCACCCAAGGCCAGCAATAGCACGGCCAGCGTAGAGGTAGTGCAGATTTTGAGCAGCCGTTTGAAGGGCACCTCCAACAATGAAAACAATAGAGCCGATCAGAATAGTCATCTTTCTACCAAGCCTGTCACCACATGGGCCTGCGAAGAAGGCTCCAAAGAAAGCACCGCCAGTGAAAACACTGACAACGGCACCGGTCTCGTTGGCATCAGGGTGAAATTCATTGTTGAAGGACTTGGAGCCAATAGCTCCGGCAATGACACCGAGATCATAGCCATAGAGTACAGAGCCCAAGGAGGCAAAGACTGAGACGAGGAACTGGTACCATTTGGGTGGCAACGCCATGGTGAGCAAGTAGTATGACAGTAGAAATGGGAGATGATCAGAAACAAGGTCCCCATGGGGCAATAGCTGCTTGATTATATACACCAAGAAGATCACAGCAAGGTAGGGTTTGGTTCCGTCCAACCGGACGTGTTCCTTGCTAACGGCAGATATTGATGCCGCATGTGCAAAAAGACTCACATAGCATCAGCTCGATATAGTGGTAGGTCTCGTGGGTGGCGCTGCCAGCATCATGGAGACGCCTCCCCGGCGGGACACAATAGACGATACCTGGTCGTTTTCGGTCGCCTATCCGAACCAAAACACTTACAACACGCTACATCGGTGAACAACGCGGGGAAGGTCGATGCAGGTTGTGTGGAGAGTGGAGGAGAAAATGGAGTCGGTAGAGGCGCCCGGAGAAACCTTCGGCCAAGATGCATTGCAACCGTGAAACCCTAAACACTATACCAACATCTGAAGGCTGATATGTTCGCAATAAGGCCTCTTTTTGGGCAACTGGTCCGATCAATCATATCTACCGACCATCAAGCAAATTTTCCGGTCTGTTTCGGCTCCTTGTTCCTGCCAAGTTGTGCATCTCATTGTGAGAAGGATTCATGAAGGAGCTCGCGCCTTGGCGAACGACAGACATCTGATCGTCGCTGCCGTTTGGATATATGTCGATCAGCAGACCTTCAACCGCAGGGTGGACGCCCTTGACGGATAATTACGAGTAAAGAAGCAACTCTATTGGTGAGAGTCTGCAGAATGGCTATGGCCAAGATCCTTGCTGTGACTCGGGCCTTTCGCTACACGCCTGAATAGAGATATGCCGAAGGCCTGTGGTCAGACTGTGGGCCACTACTGATTTACTACTCCGCCGAGTGATGGTCATGTGGTGAATAGAAACGACGATTTAGGATTGAAGCTTTCCTGTTACTGGATAGGTATCTTCTCTCTGTACCTCTTTGCGTGCCTTGTTTTTGTCAAGATATTGGGAGTGGAAGGCAGTACTGCAAACCATCTAATCCTCACTTCTCGAGCACAGAATGGCTACATTTACCAAGATTCCGGATTCTGAGACCCCTGTGGTATCAGTCAACCACCTTAACAAAATCGCAAAGATCAATGACAATGTCTATGGAGGTTTCACCGAGTACGTCTTTTGTATTCTTAGCTTGCAGCAGTATCATATAATTAACACGCCAAAAGACATATGGGACGCTGCATATACGGCGGCATCTACGATCCTGGCAATCCCCTATCAGATGAGAATGGCTTCCGTAAGGATGTAATTGAAGCATTCAAGGAGCTCAATTGTCCTGTTGTCAGATATCCTGGCGGTAATTTCGTCGCTACTTACCACTGGCTCGATGGTGTCGGTCCAAAGGACAAGAGACCTGTGAGGTGAGCTGCCTCCATGAATTCCTAATCATTCACCAATATTAACATCTGTTCAGACCAGAACTTGCTTGGCTTGGTGAGGAGAGCAACCAATTCGGTACCGATGAGTTCTTGAAGTGGTGCGAGGTCGTTGGTACTGAACCTTACTTTGCTCTTAACTTTGGCACTGGCACATTGGACGAGGCTTTGGGCTGGTTGGAGTACTGCAACTCTAACAAGAACACATACTATGCCAACTTGAGACGTAAAAATGGCCGCGACAAGCCTTACAACGTGAGTGAAACTATGCCCACAAAGCTGAGGTCATCAGCTCAACTAATTCTCGAGTAGGTCAAATACTGGGCTCTGGGAAACGAGATGTGGGGGCCATGGCAAGTCGGCCAGATGACCAAGGAAGCATACGCAGACAAGGCCTACCAATGGGCCAAGGCCATGAAACTGCTAGACCCCAGCGTGGTACTGATTCTCTGCGGTGAGACTGGTTACAGCACTTGGGACAGCTACGTCCTGAAGGAGTGCGTGAAGTGGGACACTCACACTCTGGGCGGCAGCACAACCGCATCGCTCATCGATATGCACAGTATCCACATCTACACAGCCTCAAACGACCACTTGAAGAACGCAACAGCACCTCGTAGCGCCGAGCGTGCTATCGAGATTACTGGAGGACTGATTGACCTGGTCCGTATCGAGAACAAGGTGCCATACACAGTACCAGCGCCCACCATCTGCTTCGACGAATGGAACGTCTGGGATCCCGTTCGTGCTCCCGGTGATATCGGTGCAGAGGAGAAGTACACACTGTCAGATGCGCTTGCCGTTGGAGTATGGCTGAACGTCTTCGTCCGTCAAGCCAAGTATATCGGCATGGCAAACATTGCTCAAAGCGTCAATGTCATCTCACCTCTCATGACAAGCAAGGACGGTATCCTCAAGCAAACGACATGGTGGCCTCTGCTGTTGTTCTCCAAATACATGCGTGGCTGGACCGTGGCAGTCAATGTACGCTGTGGCGAGTACGAGGGCGAGACTGAGCCAAAGTGGATCAGAGGTACGATTGAGACTCCGTGGTTGGATGTCTCTGCTACCATCAACGAGGAGGGTGTAGTCAGTATGGCTGTCATCAACGTTTCTGACAGCAAGGACTTTTCTACCAAGCTTGAGGGTGTCAGTAGTGAGTCGGTCGCAGTCTACACTGTCACTGGCGATAACCCCATGGTTGCCAATACGAATGGTAACGAGGACGAGGTTGTCATCAAGGAGACCAAGTGGGATGGCAAGGGCGAGTTCACCTTCCCCAAGCACTCAGTCACCATGCTTAGATGGAAGGCCTGAACAAGCGGCAGCATAAAGTAAAGCATTTCATGTAGATAAGTTGAATTTGATAGACGAGATCTAGAGGCATTATAGATTCAAAGACTTTCTCAAATCGACCCATCTACCCTTGCGTAAGGGATCCAGCTGTTCGAGTTGATCTAGCCATACCGTCAACTCGAGCGTGGTGATTTTCTTATTGCCAGCGTCGATTTCAAGGTATTCTGGAGTATACGTCACCAAAGCTAGGTAAATCCATTTGCAGTCCTTGGTGTCTTCAAGCATGTCCTTGAGCAAATCAAACTGTGTATCAAAGTACCCGATACGATCTTGATTTGTCAAATCGGGGACTATTCTGAGCTCTGAGGAGGTTTTCGGCGAGAGATTTGTCATGAGATAGTTGTGATAGAACCATAGACTTTGATCGTAGGGATCTGTGTAAAGAGCAGTGATGATGAGTTCGAACTCGTCGTCGAGGAGCTTTTTGCGAGCAGCATCATCGGCATTCCTTTCTTTCAGGAGTTTTGGTATAAGCTGCAGTCTATTGTGCCAGGCAGAGAAGTTTGAGAGATTTGTCTTGATCATCTTTGTTGTGTAAGCGAACTCGGACTCTGTCATAGACTCCTCTGGCTTCTTCTCTTGGTCGCTTTGGGACTTTTCTTGTTGCTCGAGGTGTGTGAGGTGTTCGATGGAGCTGACGACTTCTCTGCGGTAGCTCCAGCCGTGGAAGTTGCGCGAGTCGTAGGAGAGCATTTTGCTGTCAAGGACCATCTCTTCTTGCCATAGACGCTTGGCAGATGTGACAGGTAGGTATTTTGAGGCTTGCTGCAACAGCCATGCGCGATGGTTCCAGACCCAGTAGCATTTGGGGAATTGTTTGAGCAGAGGCAGCAGGAAAGCGAGGTCCTCGCGGATCAGAAGGGTAATCTCATGTTGGGCCGGAGTCAGGCCTGGCGGAGGTTTCGACTCGGCATCTTCAGGTGGCGAAGAGTTTATCTCTTTGGCAAAGACATGTTGAAGGACGAGGCGGCGGTGGTTCCAGATGGAGTAGTATTCGGGGTTCTGGGTGAGCAGGGCAGACGTCAAGCCGAGCGTTTCGGCCGTGTATTCTTGCGCTTCAATCTGGACATGTTGTTAGCGACTGCTACGTAGCTGAGCGATCAATATTCGGTACCTTTGTCTGGACATTGTCGACCAGGGCTTTGTATGCTTCAATCTGCTTGAGCTCCTTCTTGCGCGAGGCGTCCGTCTTCTCGCTGACCGCAACGCGGGGCACACCGTGCTACGACGACGTCAATTTTGGCCCGCCATCGTCTTTCTACTTGTTGGCACTCACACTCATGATCCTAGTAGTCTATCCTTGTTGGTTGGTTGCTTTGTCCGGTAACAAAAGTCGAGCTTGTTTCATGGATGCCGCAGCCAGATGCGCACAGCTGGAGTCAGCACTTTCGGCCTCGCAGCAAGCAGCTCCCTAAGAAACATCGCACGCGACATCGTCGCTTCTTCGAATCAAATCAAGACATTCAACTTGGTCCATTGTCTTTAACTTTGAAAGCGCGTTACCCTGTTCGCACCTTCTTCAAGAACCTGTCTTTACACTTTTCCCTGCGTCGTCGTAATTCCACCCACAAATCAAGGGCATTCCATATTCCTTCTCATCCCATTGGTTATTCTTCCAAGCGTCGTGAGAGCTCAACCTCATACCGCACTATTCATTCAGAGCCTATCCCCAAGCAATCTTGGTTCAATTCTGTTTGATTGCCCTCCATCTCTGTCCCTTTCTCCGATTCAAGCTTGCAGCCACCCAAGACACAAGATGCACTCCAAGCAGACGTCTAGTGAGAATGAACCATTCGACACTGAGCCATCTTCCAAGACTTAGCACGCCTCGAAGCCAGCTCCAGGCTCGTGGCTGCATGTCCATCTCTCGAGACAGTCGCTGGGGTCCCATCGATGGGTGTGTCCCCTCTCTCCAACCCCTGTCAAGCCAACTCCTGTATCAACTGTTTGCCGCCTCATCGACTCTTTCAATCTGGACGGTTGCAACGATGACATGGACGTCGAACACAGTGACCATGATGGCCCTGACATGGATATCGATGAAGAACCGGGTCACATCGAGCATGATGAGCCAGAGCCTATGGAAGGCATCGAGTATTCTGAGGATGCGGGTTCCATCCCACCAATTAGTCTGCCTGCTCGTCGACCATCCATACTCAGGAACCATATCAGCTCTAGGCCAAGACCATCAAGAACACCTGACCGTTTCGTCTTCGACAGGGCTCTCAACGTGCAACCTCGAGAGAGATTCATGCTGTCCACTCCTCCTCAAGATCTGACTGCCAATGACAGGTGGAGTCGCCGCCAATCCCATGCCCATGATGCCTTTGGATCCAGGACAAAGGTCACCCGCCGCCCGAACCTTACCAAATCTCCAGTCACTGCCCGTACTCCCAGGACTCCAAGCTTGTTCATGACCAGTCGTCTCAACCCACTCGGCCTTGTCACTCCTGAAAGTCCTCGAGAGATCAGTCAAGGTGCTGTATGGAATGTTGGAGGCTCTTCACCTGCTCAAACTGTCGATGGTGTCCGAAGTACAAGCAATGGTCGAGGCGGCCGCATCACCAGCGGTACAAATGCCCCAATGTTTAGATCAGACTTCTCCAACCATGTAAATGACGACACGGATCACTTGCATATCCATGGAAAGCGTTTGAGTGCGGCTATGGATGTTGATCAAGCCAATAGGGTCTTGGACCAAGGTTCTGGTCTGCTTACTCCGTCACACTCTCCAGATGCCGATGCTACTGCTGGTTTTAGCCCTTCGATCTGGCAGAACAATGAGTGGACAAAACCTGGTTCTCCCCCATGTGAGTCGCTCGTCATCTCATGCAACTCGGTTCTGACCAAAGATTCGCAGTGCAACGCATACAGTGTAAACCAAGAAAGACTGTGCCGGTTATCCCCTTCAGATAAGTCTCCATAGCCTCGCCCTCCTTTCGATGCTGACACCTTACACAGTTCTGGATGCTCCAGCTCTTCGTGACGACTACTACTGTTCCCTCCTGGCGTATTCAGACACAGCGAAATGCCTAGCGGTCGGCCTTGGTACGCAACTTTACACGTGGTCAGAAAGCAGAGGAGTGGAAAGTCCTGAGAGTCTCGGTCCGCCTTTTGCTGGGCATGTTACGTCGCTTTCTTTCTCATCAACAGAGGGCGAAAGGTCCATTCTCGCTGTCGGGCGATCTGATGGATCCATAACGCTCTGGTCTCCATCGGAGGAGGGCCCACGATTCAGTTATACTCATCGGTCTTCGGTCGCTTGTGTCTGTTTCAGTCCTCGGCCCTTTCGCAGAGCGTCGGTCCGTCATCCTGGCGTCAAGGTGCAGGTGGAATATTTGCTGGTCGGCGATGAAGCTGGCCATATCTACCTATACTCAGTAGAATGGCCGACTGCAGAAGACGTGGATATCTTCGCATGGCCTGGAAGCATGACTGTTCTTGCACGTCTAGACCTCCATTCACAGCAAATCTGCGGACTAGCCTGGAGCCCTGACGGCCAGTTCTTCGCTTCGGGCGGTAATGACAACGCGCTATGCGTCTTCGAGACACGACGAATTCTGCAAGTTGAGAACATCCCGGCGCAACAGCGGATCATGGTAAGGGATGACTTTGCTTACTATTCGCCTGTTGGTCAGGAGGAAGCGAGATGGATCCTGCCAAGTCAAGAGAGTTACCGTTACACACTGAATGCGGCAGTGAAGGCTTTGGCTTTCTGTCCGTGGCAGCCTTCGCTACTAGCAGCAGGTGGAGGAAGCAATGATCGCTGCATTCACTTCTACCACACCATATCCGGAGCAAAGCTTGCAACTATCGACTGCTCAGCACAGGTCACGAGTCTAGTCTGGAGCAGAACGCGCCGCGAGATTGCTGCTACATTCGGCTTCACACAACCGGATCACCCTATTCGTGTGGCTGTCTTCTCATGGCCGGCATGTGAATGCATCGTCCGCATCCCTTAGTACGGCGAAGAGCGTGCTCTCTGGGCTATTGGGTTTCCAGGCGGACCTGACAGTTCTACTCCTGGCGAAAGCTCTGGGAGACCGTCAGCAAGAGAAGGCACACCATGGTATGCAAGACGAACGCGCGCAGAGGGGTGCCTGGTAGTGGCTTCCAGTGATTCGAGCATCAAGTTCCACGAAGTCTGGAGCGAGGAGCCAACGTCATATCGAAGCGGCCCAGTGACGCCTATGGCAACGAGCATGGGTGTCATGGGATCCTTGGGAGGAAGCGATATCCTTGAGTCGCTGCATGGGGTGGAGAAGGAGGGTGCGTCGGTGATCCGGTAGAGCTCTTCTATCATTTGTGCAGGGAGAGAATATGTGCTCTTGATGAGTTTGGGGTGTGGTTTATCGGTTTTTGTCTATTGCATCATGTCGCTTCATTCCTAGATAGATTGCGTCTCATTAAATCCTAAGACTTTCTTCTTCACTGATCACTTCTTGAGGAAAGGCAAGAGTTCGTTGCAAATCATTCTTTTCATATTCGATCCCTCTACTGTATGTATACACAGGCTGTTGGTAGGGGGCGCAGATATTCTAGATGCAAGCAAAAGAAAAAAAAGAAGAGGCTCAAAAGCACAAAGCTGGGGGCATGATATAGAAACAAGAAACAAGCAGATTAACTCCCCCTTTGTAATGTCCCATGACCTTCGTGATAATATGTGAGGAAAGAAACAAGCAGAAACGCCTTTTTTGTTCCTGAATTGTCCAAAACAAGATTGGAATCCAAGATGAAGCAATCAGATCAGGATCGAAAGATCAGGGCCGGGCATGGCACATCTATGCACCAGCAACGGTCTTGGTCTTCTTGGCCTGAGGAACCTCGGCCTCCTTGTCAGCCTGGTCCTCGAGCTCGCGCTTCTCGGTGACACCGTTGAGCTCTCTTTGCTTCTGCTCAAACTTCTTCTTCTCTTCCTCGGTCATGTTGGGGAGGAGGGGGTCCTCATTCTCCTTGTGCAGGTTACCGTGGAAGGTACGGATGATCGAGTCGGCGTCATCAATGGCGATGGGGCGGACATCGGCGAGGGCCTTGATCTTGGCTGTGCAGAGCTTGACCTGGGCGTCGGTCATTGTGAGGCTAAGTTGCTCGACACGCGACTTGATGGCGTTCCAGCCGGTCAAGCGCGAGGCGAAGTGGACATAACGCTTCATGCCGAACTAGAAATATTGTCAGTACAGGCTTCAATGCTGATATAGAAGGGAGAAACATACGTCGGCAGGGTCAATAATCTCGTAAGTTGAGGGGTTGGCAAGAATGGCCTTGGCGTGGATACCAGCCTTGTGGGTGAAGGCGGAGAAACCGGTAATGTAGTTGTTGAAGGGAATGTTGATCTCGACCGAGTCGGCGACCAAGTCCTCAATAGCCTTGAGCTTGTGAAGGTCGTACTTGCCCTTGACGTAGTCGCGGTCGGCGACAATCATGCGGGCCATGAGACCACCGAGAGGGGTGATACCGTTACGCTCACCAATACCAATGACTGAGGTGTCAATGTGAGTGGCACCGGCCTCGAGGGCACAGTATGCGTTGGCAATGGCACAGCCAGAGTCGTTGTGGAAGTGGCACTCAATGTCGCAGCTGACGACACCACGGAGAGTTCTGACGAGGTCGTAGACCTGTCTGGGGGAAGCACAGCCGACAGTGTCAGCGATACCGACTCTGTTGACACCGACCTTGTCAACGGCAGCGTAGAGCGAGAGAAGATCGACCAAGTCGGATCTGAATGAGTCCTCTGACGAGAATCTGATCTCAAGACCCTTGGACTTGACGAACTCGATGACCTCAATGGCAGCGTTCTGAAGTTCAAATTAGCGACTGAAGATGGACTTGTGACTCAAAAAGCGACGAACCTTGATGTAGGTCATGTCCTTGCCGTGCGAGTGCTCTCTGAGGAAAGAGCTGGTACCAATGACAACGTCGACACCGTCAACACCAGTCTCAACAGCAACCTTGACATCGTCCATGTGGCAGCGGACGTGGGTCAGGATCTTGGCCTTGAGACCGAGCTTGCAGATGGCCTCGCAGTCAAGACGAGACTGCTCGGAAGCACAAGGCGAGGTGAGCTCGATGCAGTCAACACCGAACTCATCGAGAGCCTTAGCGATCTTGATCTTGGTCTCAGTGTCGAAGTAGGCATTGGCGAACTGCTCGCCCTCACGCAGCGTCGACTCGATAATCTTGAAGTTTGACACATTTGACAGGAAGTCGCCTACGGGTTGGTAGGGGTTCTTGTTGACAGTGTGGGCCTTGCCCTTCTTCTCGAAGTCGCTCTCGAACTTGGTGAAGCCCTCGTGCGCTGTTGGATCAATTTAGCGAAAGTGATGTTTGGCAGCAGTGGACAAGTACTTACAGCCATTGGCTTGAACACCGTTAGTGGCAGGAGCGCCGTCGTCGACTGTGGGACACATTGTGGTATGGATGGATGTGAGAGGGTATGATGGAGAAGGGAAAGTGAAACTGGCATGCGAAAGCCGACGAAGTTTTATTACCAGCAGCTTGAGTCACCGGAGCGGAGCCAAGTCAAAGCACCAAAGGGCCACAAATTCGGGTGGGGAACCATGACATCGCTTGCAAAATTGTGCACAGACATCCCCGACATCGCTCAGTCGACCCTTCCTTCTCTCCAGAATGGTCAGCGACCACCACTTCACGTGTCCTAGTGAACATTTTCACGTTGAAGGAAAGTATCCTCTCATGAATCGACTCTTCTCTACCATGGCTCCGCGAACATTGAATTGTTGAAACCCATCATGCCCTTATCTCCCACTATCTCTTTGATGTTCTCGAACCCACTCGTTCCCAGTGATCACCGCTTGAACAGACAAAAAGAAGTTGAGCAGCGTCATGTACGGAGTCTGCCGTCGGCCTCAACAGCACTTGACCAAAACGGCAGTCACAACCATCTCCGCAGCCCTCGTTGTCCGGCCATCAGCTTTCTGACTTTCGTCAATGACAATCAGAAATGGTTACTTATGTTGAGATGTCTGTCCTGCCTTCCAAAATTCGATTGATACACAAGATCAAAGCAACACGCTGGCCACAATATCACATCGCGTGTCCTCTCAAATTTTCTCCGCCTTTTGCCAATTATTAACTCCGCTTTTCCCCACACTCTTGATGACTCGAGGGTGGATACCCTCTGTTACTCACTATCATTGTGCATTTTTACAACTATACATATTACAAGCTTGAGCATATAGGATATGGGAGAAGTCGATTTCATAAAATGCTGCTGACCCCAGCTAGTGTCCAGAGAAATCCAAAATAGCTGTCCTAGCAACTTCAGGTCCCACCATGGCTGCATATCTTCCAACCACTCCCTTAATAGAGCTAGGGTCTTCGATACCGCCGCTCTCCCACGCCACGAGGTCCTCTGTATATACCGTCATGCCTTTGCTGATGTGAAGGCGTATCTTGTCCATGTCTACTTGTGCTTCGACATCTGTAGAGCTCATCATCCCTGGCATGCCCCATTCGAACAGATCTTCCGGACTGGCAGCCACTTCTGCTGGTGTGTCTAGCAGATATGGAGTGCCTTCTTCGCCTCCCTTGTGTTTGCGCTCGCGAGATAAAGAGACATACTTTTGCTGGCCCATCAGCTTGCGCAGTTCTCCATCCAGCGGGTTCCACTCGTATGTCTCAGGATCCAACACATATTGTGGCTTGTAATCGCCCTTGTACCGCATCTTGATGCAGTTGTGAATGTAGTAGCCCATGTAGTAGAACTCGTAGCCACCTTCAAGCGCAAGTGCAGCTTCCCTCATCGCACTGAGCTTGCCAAAACTCCACTTCTCAAAGTCTTGATGGTACATGAAGTAGACTCCACTGACAGCATGCGGCAACAGATCAAGTACGCCAACAGCGATCAGTCGGCCATCGAGTCGATAGCATTGATGGTATGATCCAAGGCGCATCTCTTTGCCATTTTTCGTTACTGTCTCCCGAGCTATAGGAGACTTGCAGAGGAAGCGCTCGAACCCTTTCTTAGTGACTTCTCCAGGCTCGTCGTGGTGGACATGGATCTGATAGTTTTTGTAGACTTGGAACTTCTCCTCGGTGCAATCATCGGGCTCCAGAGTGACTTTGAAGCGATGGGCTGGAGCAACGGGCTTTAGTTGATCGACTTCTGCTTCATGGACTGTATGCAATAGATCGAAGCCATTTCTCTGTCGAGCTTTCTCTCTAGAATAGAACTTCAGTCGCTAACCCAGTCGAGCACATAAACTTGCTAAACTTACTCTTTTGTCTTGGGAAAGCGCTTGGCAGTCTCCTTGATGTACTCTTCCCCAAGCACAAACTTGTTCCAGCTGTTCAGAGCCTTCCGTTGGTTGGTGTTTGTAGCGAGAGATTGTGCAGGCAGTCTAGATGATTCGTCAGCGAATTCAGCTGAAGAGGAGGATGCATTACTGACCTGATGGTGTAGTGAGGACAGCATGACCGGTATACATCAGGTTTGTAGATGAGATTGCCGGACCTATACAACTGTCAGCCTAAACACTCCTCTTGCGAATCTGTAGTGGTGCTCAGCAAGCGATGTAGGTACCAGTGCCCAGATCTTTAAGCTGTAGCTTCTCTATATCTTGAATGTACAAGACTGCTTACCTTCTCCATCCTCGGTCGACCAAATCTTGGTATACTTGGGCACTCAGAGATTTTGTAATAACGTAGTACGAACCACCTGCGATTGTCAGAACATCTGCATGTGAAGGTAAATGGCGACGATAATTGATAGGAGGGGTTTGTCCATCAGGTAATCGATACACACGAGATTTTGGGGTTCTCTGACTTGAATCTTCGCCTTTGCAGTAACCACAATCGCCTTTTCACAAATGTCAACATTTTGTTCAGGACTGTACAAGGCTTGTGAGGGGTATCACCTGGCTGATATCCTGGAGGGGTTTGACTGTCAGCCTAAAACAATTACAGAAGTGGAGCCTACATGCTGCATAGCGGGACTTTAGAAACTGACATCAAAGCATGTGCTTTGATGCGCCCTTCTTATTGGGTTGTTTTGCTTGGACATACCAATGGGTGTAAGAAGTGTCGTGGCGGCGGGCATTTTCGCGGTTGCGTCGGTGGCTAATGACAGGTCAAGAGGGACGAAACGCGCGACAGTGGGGTGTCTGTCAGTCAAGGCAGTTTCAAAGTGGGCAACAATGGCAGAAAGAGTTGGGTTCAAGTATTTGGATTGGATTGAGGGGATACAGTATGCAAAAGCAGTAGCGATACGTGGAGTCTCGAAATTCTGAGTGACGATGCAGCAGCATGTGAGAGGCTGTCTAGACGGCGGTGGTTCATGCAGTCTCGGTACTCGTAGCTCATCGACTCTTACTGGATATACAAATACACATGCAAGCTACTGCTCACTACAGCACTAGGCAAAGAGTGAAAGTATCATAGTTCTGTTAATATTTAATGTTGAGAAGGTTCAGCGGGCAGGCAGGCACTTTCTCGTCGCTCGGCAGAGCCTCATCCGCTGATCTCGAATTTGACAACCCCAGACCCCTTCTGTAATTGACTACACAACAAGACCGCTACCTACATGATTTGCACGCTCCGATAGCAGTCACCCGCCGCGAACGGGTCTGACCTTCAGATCCTCCCTTTCGATCCTTCTCTCACCAACCACTTACTCCCACATTCATTCTACAGTGTGACTCAGCCTCTGTCGAACGCCATAGACTTTATTTGACCGGACACGTGAGCCGTACACCTCGACCGTCGACAGACGACCTCTACTCGTCAATCCTTTCAGCCTCCCAGAAGTGGCTTCAGTGAACAATATGACACAAGACTTGAGCGTTGAGCGGCCCATGGAGGCTCGTGTCGGCAGGGAGAACCAGAGTGCGTTCGATCGCTGAGAAGCCAGTTACCTACCCACTTTGTACTGACTACTTGACAAAGGATACGGATCTCAAGGCGAACGTCTCGTCGCTGGCATTGTGCCGCTCTCCAACGACCGCAAGTCTGTCCTACTCATCCAGTCAATGCGCCGTGGCGGCTGGGTCCTTCCCAAAGGCGGTTGGGAAGTTGACGAGACCGTCGAAGAAGCCGCCTGTCGCGAGGCCTGGGAGGAAGCTGGCGCCATCTGTAAAATTCACGCCGACTTGGGCAAGATCCCCGAAAAGAGGAAACCGGAGCAACTTACCGAGAAGGCTCCCAAGGCCGCATACCACTTTTTCGAAGCCACAGTCGCCGAGGTCAAGGAGGAGTGGCCGGAGAGCCACAAGCGCAAGAGAAGGTGGATGGGCTATCAAGAGGCCATTGTCTTGTTGAAGGACAGACCAGAGCTGTCAGAAGCCCTCGAGAGAAGCAGCATCGACAAGCAGCTTTGACCGCCGCGTTCGTTTGTCCACAAACACATCCTTCACGGCTTGCTCGACGCTTGACGTTCATGTTGGCGCGCTCGTGCACAACAGAGACATCGAGCGCACGTCATGTCAAGCTCTACGTCAATTCGAATTTTGGAGAGAAGCGAGAGAAAAAAAATCGATCTATCGACAAAGAGAACCATGCGACTGGAGACGAGAAGATAATGATTCGTTTCTCAAAATACTTCGGCTTCAATTCTTGAGGATTTTGCTCGCTAGATCAACCAATTGTAATGCGAAAATAGAAAAAAAGGATTAAAGATACATCCTCGCCTCGTTTTCCAGAAGCGAGTTTTTCACTGCACCAAGCATTACAACGACTTCGAACCATATATGTGATACAACTCATATACAAGACATCCCGCGCCCTCTTCGGCGACATATTGCCCTCAGAAGGGAGTCTATTTATTATCTCAATTCGACTCCAAACTTACTAACAAGCTCTTGTCGGATCTTTTCGTGCATCTCATTTGCTTGCTCCTTGGTCAATGTGCTTTCAAGGCTGCGGTAGTTGATTCTGTAGCACAGACTTCTGCGGCCTGTCTTTGGGTGAGTGAACTCATCAACCAGAGTAACATCTTCGACAGAATCTCCAGCAGCACTACGCACGATCTCCATAATGTCGTTCTCATGGAATGCAAGAGCGGGTGCAGCTGCCTCGGATGCGAGACCACCAGCAGGAGAAGGCGTGGTTGATGTGTTCGAGGCGGTAGCAGTAACGACATCATCTTGAGCGGCGCTCTTGGGCAGCCAGAAAGCGACATCGCGGGGTGCAGCGGGGTATTTGGAGAAGGGCACGAAACGACGAATCTTCTTCTCATCGAATTGAGACAAGAAGCGAGAGTCTTTGCTCCAGAAGAGACGAATGTCGGGGATTTCGTAGAGCAGCATAGTAATTCTCTCAAGACCAATACCGAAAGCCCAGCCAACTCTTGATGGTGCGTCAGCGTTGTCGAGAAGTGGTTGAGAGATGACACCGCAGCCAAGGACTTCGAGCCAGTCACCCTGCCAGAAGATCTCGAGCTCCCATGAGGGTGAAGTGAAGGGAAAGTATGCTTCTATCCAGCGGACCTTGAGAGGCTCCTGTGATTGAGCTTGGTTGCGGACTTCGTCGATGGCAGATGCAGCTGCTGCCTCCTTGGCTTTCGAGAAGATCTCAACAACGACATTCTCAAGAGAGCGCTTTAGATGCGCTGCGACAGCTTCGGCTTCTTCCTGAGTGTGAGGCTTCTGCAGAGGATTACGTTCAGGGTGAGTGGTAGGATTTGGGTCTTCGACAACAATATCGGGCTTGGGCAGCTTTTCTACATCTTCCCAAATCTGCTGCGCGAGTGTCTTTCCTTCAGGTAGAGCATTACGATCCCATGTCATTGCGCCTTCCATCTGGTGGAAGACAGGATAGTGCGAGCGGTCGATGGCATCTCTACGGTAAACATCGGCCGAGATGGTGAATCCGTCGCTGGTGTTGGCGCGGAAGACGTCAGCTTGATGTGCAGATGTGTGTGTCCGTAACACAGTATCCTTGTTAATGTAGTAGGTGTCTGTTCGAGAACGTCCAGGATGATCAAGTGGGAAGCCCAGAGAGTCAAAATTTTGCCCCACGGTCACCACAGGATCAAACTCATTGTGATGTTGATATCCCGGAAAGCGAGACTCGATCAACTTTCTTGTGATTGAAATTGGATGATTGTCCTGCTGGTGCAGCTTTCGTGATACATTCTCGAGGATAGTGCTCGGCACATTTGTCCACGAGTCTGATGGGTAACTTTTGCCATGAATTGTCAACTCTCTCTGCTTTGAATCTACATTTTACTGTTAGCATACGAAACTATCGTTACTTTTGTGGTCTGTCTGAGAGTAAGAAGCATCCGATTGCGATGAGACAGTGATAGTTGAAAAAGCAACACCCAAGAGAATCTCAGAGATGGGAATGTCTCTTCGACCCTGCGCGTTCTTTTCGTGCTCGCCATCCTTTCGAATAATGAATTTGTTCATGACTGACCTGAGCTATTGTGTCGCCGCGAAACTGTCAACGACGCAATTGACACTCTATTGGTAATTTTTGCGCATCTTCCACACAGCGAGACAGACGCTCGAACGGACGTAAGATTGACCATCATATCTGAAAGGAAATTGCAAATTGCAATTGACTTGAATGTATGCAATGCTCGATCCTGGGACGAAGGCCGGAAGAAAGCTTTGGGAGGTCAGTGCGTCCTTTATGTCAGGGTGCCTCCCTTCACAATGTTTTTCGAGCCTTTTATCTAGTTTCGCGACAGCAAAGGCAAGTACGATGCAGTTCTTGTCTTTTTTGAGATTGTCTGTATCTCTTTCTATTGTGGCACGAATCTGAAGTTGGTATTCCTGCCTCGTCGTTGTTTGGAACCTTCTTACGCTTTTCGACTAATATCGTCTACGAACATTTGCAATCATGACTATCTTTCCAGCCATACCTGCTCCCGCTATCCCAGCAACTGACAACAGTGGCATCACTAAAGCTATCGCGAAAAGCAACGACTACGGTAATGGCCCAATCAAGTATCCGCTGTAGTTCGGTGGTACATCTTCAGCCATGGCTGCCCTGTTCTCCCACCCGCTTGATCTAGGTATGAGCTTCACAAAGACAAAAGTACCTTGCTGCTGCTGATGTCATTCAGTCAAGGTTCGCCTACAGGCACAGCATCAGAAGGGAGCCCTTGATATGGCCGAAACCTTCAAGCATATCTACAAAAGCGAGGGCATAGCTGGCTTGTATCGTGGCATCTCGGCATCCATTCTACGTCAACTCACCTACTCGACTGCACGTTTCGCAACCTACGAAAAACTCAAGTACATGGCCGAGGACGACGGTGTAAAGGCTCCACATACCCTACTTGTCGGTCTCGCAGCGGTCTCTGGTCTAGTGGGCAGTATTGTTGGGAACCCCGCCGACATCTTGAACGTCCGTATGCAGAATGATGCTGCTTTACTGCCTGCTGAACGCCACAATTACGGAAATGCGATCAGTGGATTCATCACCATCGTACGCGAAGAAGGCTGGAAACAGAGTGTCTTTAGAGGCATGGTGCCTAATCTTGGAAGAGGAGTATTGATGACAGCTGGGCAACTGGCTGGATACGACGTGTTCAAAATGGAGATACTGGCGCAGACCGAGATGCATGATGGTACCATGACACACATCGCCGCCAGTACTCTCGCAGGTCTCGTTGCGACAACTCTGTGCAATCCCTTCGACGTGCTGAAGACGCGAATCATGGCTAAGGATGAACGCGTCGGCATGTGGAACACGATCAAGACAGTACACAGACTTGAAGGACCAGGATGGATGTTCCGTGGATAGCTTCCAGCTTTCATCAGATTGGGGCCTCACACTGTGGCAACATTCCTCTTCCTGGAGCAGCACAAGAAGTACTACAGAAACCACTATGCGGATTAGGGTGTTGTCGATGTTATCCTATGAGGTCATTGATTGGTTATGAGCCAGGAGTCGTGACAGGCCATTGATACTCCTAGACAATAAGACGACCTGAGATCTGTCCTTAGTGTAGGTATGAACACGTTGATCCTCTGTGCGCAAAAGGTCCAGTCTTGAAACACACGGCAGTGTGACGAGATGGTCAAGGGGCTGAGAATGGCGGAGATGGTCGCCAAGATTCCGCAACGGGTCCAGCCGCTGGTCGCTCGCCAGCTGGCCTCACTCTGGAGCTTTAGGAGATTGAGTTGGTAGTTGACTCCCCTCCCCCATTGATTCATCTCCATTCGTCGTCACTCCCTCCGGTTCGAATAGAGAGACTGTCAACATGAGCGGTCGTAAGTCTACAACCTGCAACGTGCTCCGCAGCAATGCCTTCGCAGAGTCGCAACACGTACAATACTGGCGCAACCAAGCACGTCAATTGACACGTCTGTCGCACGACGACTAACATGTGGTGCTCGCAGTACGCTTCCTCGACTTGGTGAAGCCTTTCACCCCCCTGATTCCTGAGATCGCCGTCCCCGAGACCAAGACTCCCTTCCAGCAGCGCCTGATATGGACTGGTGTCACTCTCCTGATCTTCTTGGTCATGTCACAGATGCCCCTCTACGGCATTGTGTCCTCTGGTGAGCTACAGACACACAATCTGGCTCGCGACAGCAATACTGATGCAGCTCAGACACCTCTGACCCGCTCTACTGGCTCAGAATGATGATGGCCAGTAACAGAGGTACTCTCATGGAACTGGGTATCACCCCTATCATTTCTTCCGGCATGGTCTTCCAGGTGCGCAAAAGATGCTCAAAAGCTACAAAATCAGAGAATAGGCGGTTCTGACAAACTTGGTAGCTTCTTGCTGGTACCCACCTCATTGACGTCAACCTTGACCTCAAGGCCGACCGTGAACTCTACCAGACTGCACAGAAGGTGAGCTCCTGCAAAACTACGTATTGAGAGGAGCCAACACTGATATCTCTAGCTCCTCGCCATTATCCTGTCCTTCGGTCAAGCCTGCGTCTACGTCCTCACCGGTCTCTACGGTCAGCCCTCCGACCTTGGTGCTGGTATCTGCGTTCTCCTCGTTGTTCAGCTCCTTACCGCCGCTCTGATCGTCATCCTCCTCGATGAGCTCCTCCAGAAGGGTTACGGTCTCGGCAGTGGTATCTCGCTCTTCATCGCTACCAACATCTGCGAGTCGATCGTCTGGAAGGCTTTCTCGCCTACCACCATCAACACTGGCAGAGGTCCTGAGTTCGAGGGTGCCATCATCGCCCTTGTCCACCTTTTGGTTACCTGGCCCAACAAGCAGCTTGCCCTCAAGGAGGCCTTCTACCGCCAGAACCTGCCCAACGTCATGAACTTGATCGCTACCATCGCCGTTTTCAGCGCCGTCATCTACCTCCAGGGTTTCCGTGTCGAAATCCCCGTCAAGTCCTCGCGCCAGCGTGGTATGCGCGGTTCTTACCCCGTCCGTCTCTTCTACACCTCCAACATGCCCATTATGCTTCAGTCGGCTCTCTCTTCCAACGTCTTCCTTGTCAGTCAGATGCTCTACTCTCGCTTCAGCGACAACCTTTTGGTTAAGATGATCGGAGTCTGGGAGGCTCGCGAGGGATCTTCTCAGATGCTCCCCATCTCTGGTCTTGTCTACTACATGTAAGTTGCAACCTGCTTTTTTGTCGCGTGAACGGATTACTAACGATGCTTGCGCAGGTCCCCTCCCCTCAACTTCAAGGATGCCCTTCTTGACCCCGTCCACACCGCCCTCTTCATCGCCTACATGCTCATTGCATGCGCCGCTTTCTCCAAGACCTGGATCGAGGTCTCCGGTTCCAGCCCTCGTGATGTCGCCAAGCAGCTCAAGGAGCAGGGTCTCGTTATGGCCGGTCACCGTGATGAGTCCATGTACCGTGAGCTCAAGCGTGTTATTCCTACTGCTGCTGCCTTCGGTGGTGCCTGCATTGGTGCTCTCTCCATTGTCAGTGACCTTGTCGGCGCTCTTGGTAGCGGTACTGGTATCCTCATGGCTGTCACGTAAGTTTTGACTTGTTCTTCGAATTTGGATATTAGCTAACAATTATCTCAGCATCATCTACTCTTACTTCGAGATTGCCGCCAAGGAGGGTGACATGTCCGGCCTCAGAGGCATGGTCATGGGTTAAGAGCCTGAAAAGTGCCAGATTTGAGAATCTTCTACACTGTATATTTTATTACCAGGGGAAGAGAGGTACGCTACGGGCGATCTTGGAAGAATCTTGCTTGAAAGTAAAAGCCAGTCTCTGAAAGAGCTTTGTAGATTATTAAGGCCAGGCACTCTCATTGCAGGTGTCCTTGATTTGGCCAGATCGCCGTTAGTCCTACGCTCTTTTGTAGGATGCAATTTCAAGAAAAGTTATTCGCAATCGCTCTTGCCTAGTTCAGTGACTGTGACTGAAGTCAAAGTTGGCTCTGACATGCAGCTTCCAAACTGGCCTTCACTCGATCGACTTCATGCCGGTCTTGCGCTGAACACGTCCATCTGTCTCCATCTTCAATCTCTCGCCTCATCACGCTTCGCTCGTGCTCCAACCTTCTCAGTGCACACCAACGATAGCTTCACCACGTCACAATCACTTCCGTCACCTGTCCTCTCCTCCGTTCAGCTCTGGTCGACTGTCCTGAACTTCGTACGTAAATCGTGTCCTACCACAGACCTGCTGTTAACTGATCCTGAAAGGTAGCGATTCTGTCCATCATGGACCTTCATGACGCCAAACATCTGCCTCCTGCTTCATCGAGTCACATTCGCCAGGATGAACCTGAACCGTTCCGCTTGCTGGACCTTCCTGCTGAGATCAGACTCATGATCTATAGCTATGCGTTCGGATACCGAAACGTTTGTTGGACGGTGAAACCTTGTAACGTCGATAAATCTCTGCTGATGCTGAGCGACCAATATGATGCAAATGTTGGAACCGATGTCATTCCTCGTCGTTGTCCTGTTAACCTCTTGCGAACCTGCAAGTTGATCTCACAAGAAGCACATTCAATTCTATACAACCAAACACGTTTTGATTTTCGTTATCGAAGATTTGCGTCTGAGTTCCCCTACAGGTACCGGCTTCCAGTCACGCCTTGGTGGATAAGCGAACATGTTCTCAGCGTGGCTCAAGCTGTTCTCCAATCCGTCAAACATATTCGCATTCACTTCGACGACAGTGCATTAGGCATCCTCTTCTGGAGGTTCTACCTTTTGCGCAAGTATCTAGATTCTGGGCGACATCTCAAATCGCTACGATTTGCTTTCAGTGGACCTAACCCCCTGGACTCTTTTTGGAGAGCAGAGGACTTTGGGGATTTCTTCTGCCTTGGGTCGCACCATGGCAATGCTACATTGGACTTTGGCGACAGCGATCACACGGACGAGGACATTGCACGATTCAAGGAGCTTCTCGAAGGTGATTGTTACCGCTACTATGTTTTGCAAATACATGCTAATCTGTTACAGAGCCTGTGCAAGAATATTCCATCAGCATAATCAAGAAGAGCGATGATTCAAATCGCAAGAAAGATTGGTGGACCGAACTTGCCATTTAATGTCGTTAATGATAGCTGGTTATTATGGCTAGTCGTGTTGCTCCGTCCAATTCCTAAGGCAGCAATTGCTACTGTACTATCTGTATCAAGCAGCATACCGATCGCTGTCTGTATTTTGGTTTGAAAGATGCATAGCAGCTTTATTACCATTAGCTCAAATTAGTAGCAGAATGTGCCTCAATACAACTTCCAGAAGCAGTCACTTCTGTTCGATCAAACATAGTCTTCAAACGTGACTGAAAGTTCATGGTACAACCTTAACTTCACTCTCTGAGCCGTCACCAGCGAGAGATTGATCATCACTTATAAGGTCAGATCTTCATGAACTCCGCTTTGTTCGTGTGATCCTTACCCACAACTCCTCGTTTCCGTGCTAAATACTTCTCTGTCAAGTCAGCCGAGAGCGCAATTAGTCTGCTTGTTCAGCCTAGTATTCCAAATATTTGCGAGGCCGCGTGTAGGCGGTAGCTTCGCGGACCCGGTCGATGTATCGACCACAAGTCTCTACTTATCCCGGACAAACGTAGAGATAAAGGCATGGTATACGGAATGATTGCACGAGATATTCCCACAGATCCTTTATCTTCATACCGAGTGCTTCTTTGCTAGATGTTCGCGAAGTCACATACAGACGGCAACTTCTCAGGCCGGGTGATGTATCGATCACCATTTTTTGCTTATCCCGGATGAACGTAATAACAAAGATATGATATGGAGAATGATTGCACGAATAAATCCATAACTCTTTGTTCTCGTGACGGATACTCGACCCATGTTTCCAGATCTTTGAAGGGCCTTATGCCAACGGTGATTTTGTAGCCCCGGTCGATGTATCGACTACAGGTCTCTACTTGTCCCGGATGAATGTCAAGGGACAAAAGCACGATGTACAGAATGGGTGCACGAGAGATGTGTTAAAGACAAACAAGGTGACGGGAAGTCCAGATTTTTTATGATCTCCAAGGCCGCACGCAGAGAGTGAATCCGGTCGACAGACGACTAACGAGATTTTGTTTATCCCGGACGAACGAAGAGATCAAGGCATAGTATACGGAACCTTTGCACGAGAGATGTGCCAAAGACAGTGACGAGATGACGGGATACTAGCTTTGCGTAATCGCTCTTGCTTTGCCCATCCAAGACGATTCGTCTAAATTCCACACCTCAAACTTGCTCAATTTTTACGACCTTGCTGCTTTCGGAGCCCGAATGAGACCTTCTTGGACTTTGTTACCTTATTCTGACGCATGGTACATGAGTCATCTACCCATCCCATCATCTCTTGCATAAATGAACACAACTTCTTGCGACCCAACTCCTCTAGTTATACGTCTGTCAAGTCTTTCCAGATTCTGAGAAGCAGCATGAGCGGTCCGCGCCTATATGTCTTCATGAGAGGCAATGAATCCATCCATTGTGGAGCTCCGTAATGGCAAATGACTGCTTGCCACTCCATTAACATGTATCCGTCCTTACCAAATTCCTTGCTTGCTGGACCTACCTACCGAGATCAGGCTTATGATCTACAAATATGCAATTGGATACCACAATTTTCGATGGACAATGACCTACGAGGCCAACACTGGTGTTGCGTTGGCGCTAGGTGACCTACACAATGCAAAAGGAAACCGCGATATCGAGCCACACCATCGCCCTAGTCTTTTGCGTAATTGCAGACTGATCTTCCAAGAAACTTTCCCAATCCTTTATAACCAGACAAGGTTCGATATCAGCTTCGACAGCTGTTGGTATCAGAGTAACCGCCCTCTCGAAACTCATTTACTTCCCAAGTATCAGCTCCAATTGACGTCTGGGAGGAGCCAAATCACACACGGTCTGACACAAGTTGTTCTCGCGCGTGTCAAGCACGTTCGTGTTTTCATGAACGACACAAGATTATCCACATACATCTGGCGGATGCACATTCTAAGCACTTGCCTAAGCCACGGAATGGGCCTCGAATCACTTCGTCTTCTTTCAGCCATACCTATGGCCGAGTTGGACGATATCTGGAGTACTGCAGAGATTCTCTATTTCGACTCGTATAAAGACACTGTTGTTCTCGAACTCGTCGACTGCGATGTCACGGAGGAGGACAAGGCCGTGTTCAAGAGGATTCAAAACTGTAAGGATGAGCTTGCGAATCTTCCACGTGCGATGCTGACTTGTTTCAGTATTGGGACGTGTGCTGTCTGTTAGCATGAAGCGACACACACCGAATGACCTATGAGTTGCTCAGTCGAAGTCGTCAAGAATGGCAGGCAGGTTGGTTTTATTGCTGTGACGATCACCAAAACCGAACAGTAAGGCGTGGCAGCGAGATCTTACTGAAGGGCTGTGGCAGTACAAGACTGTTATAAGCAACCGATATGGCTATGCGAGGATCGTTTAACAAGGCGGAGCAGAGTCGTTAGACTTTACGCAAGCTCTGACAAGAGACGCGTCTTCTTAAAGTCCTGGAGGAATGTGCATGGCACTTGGCTATCTTGCTGCCTTTGTGTAGTTGTATCCGTCAGGATCGATCAGCAAGGCGAAGTAGCAAGGGCTCGATGTGCTCGACACAAGGGTCCAACGAGCGTATTACGCAAGGTGAACTTCTCATATGTGGAACATGCCACGCGTGTAGCTGTAGGATTGCGCATGTGTTTTCTGGATTAGAGGTTTGTGTTTGGAATGTGAGAAGACAGCGGCTCTCGGCCAAATACCTCTGATACCAATTGGCATTCTGCGTCACGATAGGCCTGCAGACTGCTATATGCCGCTTGGAGATAGTAAAGTTGCAACAACAGAGTGGTTGTCGTTACATGACCTTCCTTATTTTGACAAGCGACGTGTGATTCTTGTGGAGAAACAGCGGCCGCTCTGGGGCTGAGTATGGGTTTAGGTTATCACTCTGAACAGGCAGCGGTAAATAGTCGCGACAAGGACCCGCGGGTTACAAAGAAATTTGGGGCTGTGTACAGCGAATGGGATAGAAAGAATTTGTTCTGATTTCTTTGCTCTGCGTTTCCAAGCAAATGCCCAGCGCTTGGTCTGTGGGATGCAAAAGCTGTGCAAAGAATGAGGTGGAAGTGGCAAGTTGTGAGGCTTAGAGAGGAGGCAAGGGACCGAGTAGGTCCGTGTAGGCACTGTATGCAATTCCATTTAGACGACGCAGGGTTAAGTCGCATGTGTCTAGGCTGTCTTGAGTCAGGTCTCAGTTTTTGGAAAGCAAAGACAATCGGAGCGAGAGTGCTGCGGCAGCTGGCCTGTGTAGAGAGACAAATGGTCAAACAGTCACAGCCATGGCGCGAACGGGAGAGTCCCCTTCGGTCGCTTTGAGCAGGTCCGGAAGCTTCGGCGGCTGAGCCATCGCATACAGAGTCCGTGCACGCGAGCATGACGGTGTAAACGGTTGCATGGTCGAACGAGGTGAACGAGGCAGTGCAACCACCATGCCCATATGTAAATGCTACATAGTCCGCCTATCGGAGGGGAAAGGACAGACATCTTATCAGCACCCTACAGAACAAAGCAAACAAACCACCGACAAAAGCAACGCAGAAAAAAGATAAAGCACAATTGGTACCTGGTCGTTTATCCAACGGACATATCAAGCCAAAGCCCGACCATCTCGCCCCGGCGTCACTTCCCATAATATTCAGTAGCAACATGGCTGCAGTCACTTCGCTTCAAACACCACCAATGTCTCCTCACGCCTCATCGCCTTCATCCTCGCCCACAAAGCGCAAGCACTCGCCCTCGCTTTCTATCGACCTTAGCGACCTACCGCAATTATCCACAATCCCCGTACCTTCAAATACCCTGATCATCACCGGCCTAAACGACCCTGCCATCTTCGGCGCCACAAACCTTGCAAGCATCAAGGCTGCTCTCGACAGCCACGCAACAACCTACTCCTTCTCGCCTCTAAAATCCTTCCGTCGCATCATCGCCTCCTTCTACAATGTCGACGCCGCAATCGACATCCGCACAAAGCTCGATGGCGAGAATGTGCTAGGCCAACGCATCCGTGTCTACTTTGGCGCAGAGACAAAAATCACTACTCAAGAAGACCAACACTTGAAGGCGCCAGGAACTGGAAAACTGTTCTTCATTTCGCCTCCCCCTTCGCCTCCCCATGGCTGGGAGTCCCGCCACGAAGACCCTCCTAACAAGGAGGTCCACGCTGAGGACTTGGCAGAGGCACTGCACAGATTGTCGTCTGTGCCTGAAGATGAGCAGGCGCAACACATCGAGCAAGCTGAGGATGTCAAGACCGCCCCTGTCTCTGCTCCTGCTGTGACGAGAAGCAGAGCTGACTCGAGGACCATTGTCTACTCGCCTGTTGAGCAAGGTCACTCGCCCCATCTGCCTGCTATTGCTGTTGAGGATACCAGTTGTGAGGCTTCGCCTACAGAAGAGACCTTTGGCATGGATGTGCAGAAGCCTATCACCCACACTGCTCGTCCTCCTGTCGAGCTCATGGAGGAGTAAACCTTCCTGAACTCACCAACTTTCTTATGTTTTCTTTCATGGCGTTGTTCTAAGGGTTGGGTCTAGGGTTATTATGGGTTGGATTGGACAGACACATGGGCGCAAGCCAAGCATTGGGTCAGGAGTTTATTTTGAATCAGCGACATTCTGTCTTTCAGTATCACTCAAGAAAAGCAGTCTTCAATACATGAGAATCAAGCTTTATCAATCATCCTACTTTCTCTTCTCGGAAATACAAAACCAAGTCAGGTTGGACTGTCTGTTGGTCATATACATAAACAGGCACTCATAGGAGTCTGCGAGATTGCTTGACTGAACAAGAAGGCGATTATATTCACTATATAACAAATCCACAGTGCGTGTCGTGGGGAAAAAGCGCTTGCAGCGTACTCGCAAAGAACTCCTCTCCAAAGTAAGAACGAGCAGTATTCAAACAACGCAACGCAGGTTATTACACTTTTTGCTTCCTCCCACTCGGCCGTTTCACATTCTTGTGTGCTTTTTGCTATTTTTCTGTGTCTGTGATTCTCCTTAAGACACGCTATCCTGTATACTGTTTGCGATTTTGTTGTTTACTGAGTACGACCGGCAGGGGCAGCGGCTCTGGCGCCAGCACCACCCTGGGGACCCATTCTCTTGCTCCTGTCATAAATGTCAGTATATCAAGATTCTTGTTTGCACGAACAATGGGAGCAACTTACATGAAGGTTCTGGAGAAGAAGGAAATGCCAATCATCAAGGCCCAGCTGGGCATGACAGAGAAACCGTAAACGACCCAACCGAAAGGAATGGCAAGACCAGTCTGAGCGAGCAAGCCGTTGAAGGGGTGGAAGAAGCCCTCGTAAGGAGTCTTTTCCTTGAGGAAAGTCTTCTCAGTGGCAATCTCAACAATGTCCTGAGCGGAGACGGTGGTGCGGTTCAAGGGAAGGTAGTAGACAGTGGTGGCAGGGGTGGTCTGGTCGGGAAGAGGCTGAGGAAGCTGCATGTAGATAACGCTGGGAGCACCAACACCCCATGCGTTGCAAAGCTGAGGCTCCTTCTCGCAGTCGAGACGACCGAGCTGGGGAGCGCTGGGGACAGCAGAGAGGAGCGGGAGAGCCTTGGTCCACTCAACATCAGCGCGGGCACACATGCCAAAGCAAGTGCGGTTGCCGCCAGTGGTGTAGATCATCCAGTCCTCAATGCCAGGGCTGGCAGTTGCGGCGCCAGGCTTCAGGACCTCGTTGTAGTTCTCCTTGGTCAAGTCGGTGACAGTGAGCTCTTGGACCTTGCCAGCGGCGGCGTGGACGGGGTTGGGAACACCAGATGCGGCCGAAGCAGCTGCTGAGCTGGCAGAAGTGACGCTCGAGGAAGCGGCACCGACGATGTTGTTGAACCAGCCCTTGGCCTGCTCGAAGAGAGGGACTTGCTGCTGGGCAGCTGCCATGGCAGGCAGTGCCAGGACGACGGGAGCGAAACGCATTTTGTGTGTGGTTGTGAGGTATTGATAGGGAGACAGGCAGAAGTCAGGAGAGAAGGGGGTATATTATTATTTCTGCAATCGAGTTAGCTATGTTCGAGCTCAGAAAATGTATTTCACCGACTTTCACTTACCTGCAAAAAAGTGGTTATGGAATGCCTAAGCTCAAGTCAAGCTGGATGGTCAAAGGTATCCCCGTTTCAGGGAAGTCGCGATGATGACAGAGTGCAGACAACGCTTGGCACGCCGCCTGGAAAGTCCATTTCGGCATCCTTTCGACCTTCCTCGACAATTTTTGGGGACCTTTTCATGACTGTTTTATCTGTTTCTCAATACTCTTTGCGGCAAGAGCTTGCAAGGTCTGGGGCTTGACTCGCACCGTTCTCACAGGCTCAACATCCTGCTTCTAGCTATTCTAGCTACTTCATGGCTCAAAGTCTGGCATCGACACATATGGCCAAAGATCTGTTGTATCAAATGCAAACAGTGCGTCCAGATCAGCGTTGTCGTACGACAAGAAATCCTGCACATTTGGCTGAAGAATTGCCATCTCGCTCGTCATTTCATCCATCCGCAATGGATCTATACTTGAGAGTTGTTGTGGTGTGACACTCAGCAACTGCTCAGACTTTTCCGCCTCAAATCTTGAGATGCACTCGAGAATAGCATCTAGATGTTGACAAAATTCTCTTGCCGCAATATTGCCCAGTCGATCTAATTGCTTCATTAGGTGATGTGCTGATTGGAATGTCTCCTTGTCTGCCTGTGCACTAGATCCGAGGCAGAGATTGGAAACTGCAAGGATGGTCGCAGCAGCATAGAGATACTGTGCTGACGAATAATCCAAAGCCGGAAGCGCAGTCCATCCCTGGGTTATGAGACGGCATGTATGCCTCGCTGTATGCACGCATGTCTCAGCCAGCATGAATGTAGCTTGAGGGATCTCATCCTTGCGGTTCGTCCGATTGGTAACATGAAAGACTTGCAGCAAAGTCGGCCGTGTAGCGAGAATTACGCACTAATATAATCAGCTACCGCAAGGAACATCAAGGCTCTCGACATACCTGGTTGAAAGATAGATGCAAAGCGACAATGTGCCAGCTCGCTGGCTTATCTGGCCACATCTTGACGCTTTCTGGTAACGTCGCTGACCAGTCTCGAAGACTCTTGAATATGGCTTGCACCTTCTGAACAAATGGTCGATCGTTCTTCTTGCGACTGTACAAGGTGGAAATTGTCTCGCCAGCAATGCTTGCCAGGCGCATACTCGCGCAAAGGTAATCGGCACTTACCACATCACCTTTCTGTGCATCAGTAAGTCCGTTATCCGAAGGTGGACTGACTTCTATATCGTCGTTCAGGATGAATGCAGAATGTCCGATCTTGCTGGCAATGAAACGATCGAGGGCGTAGACTGTCCACCACAGACGTGCTCTTTTCTGTCTCGCAGCTAGATCTGGCATCTGCGACTCTGTAATATTGTGGTGTAGACCTAACGTCATCGATAATCGCATTGCAGATCCAATGTACCAGTAAGCCGAATGTCGTCTGTTCATCGCCAGCGAATATATTGTCTGTTTGATCAGCAGTGATCCAACCAGGTCGCAGCTTCCTAAACTCACAAGACATATCAAGACTTCTACATGATCTGCTGTAGCGCGTTCTGGCAAAACAGGAAGCAGCTCCCTAGCTTTTGCGAAATATGGTAGTCCAGGGAATACCGCGTGTTGAGATTCGGCCAATCTGGGCGAGTAAACCTGGGCAAGTGCGAACAAGGCAAACAGCTTGCACTCTTGCATCTGATTGAGAGCTGTGCGGTCAGTATATGCCTTCTCCAGTATGCTTCTGACGCCGGAAAGAGAAGACAAATGGAAGCATTGTCCTACTGTTGCAATGACGGATTCTACAAGGAGATATGCTTGCGGTCGACTCGGCCATGGTGCATTCTCGTTGGCGGCTTGCCAGATTTGACCGTCTTGGACATAAAGCGTTCTAGCAATGTGAACCTCGGCCTGTGTGTGTAGAAGAAGCTGGCGTAAACGTGATGAAAATGCTGTACATGCTGCCTCGCCGATGAAGATGGGACTTTCATGTAGTGGGACAAACCAGGCATCATCTCGAACCAAAGGGTTTCCTGAATCGGTGGTGACGGAAGGCTCGGGCGTATTACTTTGACTCTGCTGTTGTTGATTGTCACTCTGCGGCGTCGAGACCTGTTGCTTGAGGCGCTCGATCTCCTTCAGAAGGTCATTGATATAGCTTCTAGGATGTTAGTCGCAATATCCACTTGATTCGATGTCAATGTATCACCTTTCTCGGACTGTAGTCTTTCGATCCTTGACGGGGTACTCGCATGGAGTATTGTTCGTGGCTTTGCAATTCTTGCAGGGCTTCTGACCATCACATTTGATCTTGTGCGAGTGGCATCGTTGGCAGCTGCGATCGGTACACTTGATCAGTTTACCGAGGCTTTGTTGAAGGCGGATAGCAACATACGCGACGCTCTTTCTCGGCTTCTTTAACACTTTGTTATCAGATGATCTCATGGCCCTTGCTATGTCTATACTAGACATGTTTGAACACAGAATGATTCCACCGGGTACGATATTACGAAGGTAAAAGCAAGATGGCAAGATGCTGTATGGCATGACTTCGCCTCGGTATAATGATCCATGTTGCCGAGGCCACTGGTATTACAAGGAAGAATGCATTTGACCCACTCCAAATTTCAGTGTATCTATGACAATTTGACCTGAATTTTTTGCTTGAGGCGTTATTCTAGTCATAAGGGTAAATTGTCTGGATTGTTTGATTGTGGTCTTCGTTTGTATGCTCGGTAAGACAAACATTTTTGCCGAAAGCGCAAACAAACTTCCTACCACAAACAACCATGCGTATTAGTGATTGTAAAGCCATGCTCAACTTCTACGGCATCAAAGATGCAATATTGATGGTAAGATAGCTGATTGTATTTTGTGTTGTCAAATATAAATATGTGCATTCTTCTTCAAAGTGCTTCTGGTCTTGACACTCTATCAGCCAGCTTCCTTCCCTATAACACGACATTGTTCATTCAGCCATATTTTCTCATTCAAAGAAACACAGGCAAGTCTTTTCTGAAGGTAAGTTTGTCATGTTCATACTTGTATTCAAGGACAAAAGAAGATCAGCCCGTCCTACCCGCTCTCTGCAACCAATTCTTACAGCATCACCACCATTCTCTCCCGCTACCTCTACCAACCTCTTCCGATATTTCTTTCCCTCTCACGAGCAAAAATGATGGTCAGTACGGGGGTCGAACCCGCGACCTTGGCGTGCCATATATCATGGGTGGATATCCACCAATATTAGCACCACGCTCTAACCAACTGAGCTAACCGACCAGGTCTAGTGGTAATTGCTTACCACGTGATGTTCTGAAAATCGACAGGTCAATACTTGATCTAATGAGCATGATCTGAGCAGCTGTCAAGAGCTTATCGACCACGTCTGAGGCCTCATCAATGTCAAGTCTCATTGACAAGTCGTGCATTCAACGAAAGCTCGTATGTACTTGCAGAGAGTACAGTGCACTCAACGATAGCTTGCATCAACCTACTATTCGTTGTTGCAGACGGGTGTGGTAGGTCTGGCGTGAAGCCTCAAGTGCGAAGCCTGGCATATCGGAGATCGCCTATACAGCTCACGGGCCCCAACCACCCTCGAACTCGAAAATTCTCGGTCAAAGAGCTTGGATAGCGTCGTTCTTTAAGGTTGTCGAACACTTATTTGCTCTTGGACACAAAGGTTCCTAAGAATCACTGTCACAAGTGCTCCGACAGTGCATAATCTGCGTCCGGTTGCCACAACTTTGCATTGACGATATCTTGCCCAAATGACATCGTCTGATCAAGCCGAGCACAGCGGTGAAGAGCTGCAGATCTATTCTGTCTGCTCGCGGTCGCAAAACTTGAAAGAACCAAGGATGTGACTCATTATATGTACCCACAAAATTTTTTCACTACCAAACTCGTCGGGATGATGGCACAGGGGTAATGCGCCCCCTTCGCATGGGGGAGATCCAGGGTTCGATTCCCTGTCATTCCACGTCTCTTTTGCCCCCCTGGAATAGGGTATAGGTGGTATGGTGATGTCAGGGGAAGGGTGTGAAGTTTTTGGCCCAACATCAAAATTTTGAGCGACACACAAATCGCCACCCAACAAGGCCGACACACATGAAAGAGAGGCTTCAGATGTATACGCTGTCCAAGTTTCAGACCAATAGCATCTGTTTTGGGTGAGATATCCAGGGTTGAAGCTTTCTGTAACACCCGGGTACACCTGCACACAGTAACTAAATACGGCGACCAATCAATGTGTTGCTCCCCTTGTGAATGAAGAAACACTTCTTGTGTACAATGCCAAAGTTCTAGGAGAATATCTTGAGACTTTGTTGAGATATCATCGGTCGGGTGTCGAGGCTTCGCTAGATTGTAGCGACCTAAGGCTAGCCACAACGACGACCGATCAACCCATCGGTCTTGAACATGTGTAATCTCTCTCTTTTATGTGCTTTAATAACATTTGAACGTATTGTCGATACTTAACTAGCAAGCTTCGGAAACCATCAATCAAGACGTTCAGATTCACCCACATGGAGCTAACACGATAATAAATCATCTTGGGCGGATGTTGTAGATGAGCGAAGAATTGATAAAACATGTACATTAAAAGCTTGTAATCGTATATAACAAAAACATGAATCTCATAAAAGGTGGCAGATCCTCGAGACAGCCCCTCCTAAATATTGAACGTCAGATCTTTCTAGTCCGTGCAAGCAGGTGCATTCTTCGCAGTCTTTGTAACAGTCGTGAAAACCGTAGATGTGCTCTTGACCGTCGTGGTCTTTGTCGTAGGAGCCGGCGTTACAGTAACCTCAATCGTGTTGCCCTTGAGCGAGCTAGTCTTGACGATAGTCGTCGTAGATGCAGGAAGTGTCGTCTGAATCGTGGTCGTCGAATCCGCAGAGTTGGTGATTGTCAAAGTAGATTGGTCAGCAGTGACCACGGCGGTGCTAGAAACGAGTTTGAAGCTTGTCACGGTCGCCGCATCAGCAGAGATCTTCTCGGTCGAGCTGACGGTGGCAATGCTGTAGTAAGTGCTTCCAGGTAGAGATACAGTATCATACTCGGTGCTGTATGCCAAGCTGGTTACTGTAGATCCTGCCACGGTCTGTATGATCGTTGAAGTTGACAATATGATCGATGTCGCGGTGGCATCGACTGCGCTCTCCGTTACAAGCTCTGTCGATGTGGCGAGTAGAGTGCTCAAGACTGTCGAAGTAGCTGCCTTGAGTGTGCTGGTGGGCGCAATAGTGCTTGTGCTGGTCACGCTAGTGAAAATGGTCGATCCTGCACTGGTGATCACCGAAGTCTTGATGTAGGAGGTCAATGTGGTGCTGATGAAGATTGTTGTGGTCCCAGCAGCACGAGCTTCAAGGCCTCTTCTGAAAAGTCTGGCAGCACCTGCAGTAGGAACACAAGAAGCGGTGATCGTCGTGCCCTTCGTGGTGGTCTTCACAGAGAAGCTCGAGACAGTCACAGTCGATGGTTTGAGAGTGGTCGAGGAGGTGACATCTGGAGCTTGAATCGTAGTGGTACTGCTAATTGTTATACCCTTCAATGTTGAGGTCTCGTAGACCGTCACTACAGAGCCAATGCTCTCGGTAATCGTGACTGGCTTTGGCGACGACGTCGAGGTCACGAGAAGAGTGCTTGTCGCCTTGACCGTCGAGGTCTTTCCAGCGACAGTGGTCGCGAAACAGTCAGTTTCAGTGCTCTTGATGGTAGTGTCCTTGCCAGCAATTGTTGTTTCGCTTGAGACGATTGAAGTCTGCTTGATCGTGACATCCTTGGCTGAAGCTGTAGCAGTAGCTAGGATGACCGAGGTAGACTTTACTGTTGTCGTTTTTCCTGCCTTTGTAGTCGTGGAAGTGACAATATCTGTTGACTTGACAATTGAGGTTTTCAGAATTGGCGAAGGTGTTACGGTGGTGCCATCATTTTCCGTGACATAGGTAACGAGTGTCGAAGTGATATCGCCCTGCATAAGAGTAGTGTACGTTGTCGCTTTCTGAATGATGGTGGTAGTAACCTGGGTCGTGATCAGAGGCAACGTGGTGGAGCTGCTGCTTGACGTTGTTGAAAGTATGGAGGATGATGAAGAACTGACGCATCCAGCAGGAGCTGAGCCGAATCCAGCGGTGAATGGCTGAACATCAACAACAGAGAAATCAATCCATGACGTGGTGGGGAAGAAGTTGGCCAACTGGAATTGACCGACATCTGTATCAGACAGCTGCTCTGAGAAGCTTGCACGGTTGCAAGTGTTGCTTCCAGGTCCGAAGTTGTGGTACTCGGCAAAAGTAACACCATCGGTCTGAGGAGAAGACTTGCTCCATTGAGCCCAACCTGCCGAGCCAACTGACCCATCAAGGTAGCAGCCAGCATACAGCACACGAGCAAAGTTGTTCCAGGGACGCCCCAGCGAGACATTCTTGAATCCGGAAGAGCCTGCAGCAGGAACAATAGTACACTGATCGAAGACGAATCCAGCAGACGTAGTGTTAGTTGCACGCTTGGCAGCAGTGATGGAGTCACCATCCTCGTTAGGCGAGATAGTCGAGTTGAGGAAGTAGCCTGATCCAGCACCGAAGATGAAATCAACATTTCCTTCGATATAACTCTTGAATGTAAACATGTTGCCAGAGATGTACAAAGTGTCTTGATTTCCATAAATCTGACAGCCGTGCATGAAAGCATACTTGCTACTCTTGACTGCGAAGCCTAGGGAGGCAATGTTCTGCTGAGTGCCGTTGTTGTTTCTGAAATTGACATTATAGGCATAGAAGTAGTTTCCAGTTGCATAGACAGTAGCGGCATCTACATCGCTTCCAGTGCCCTGAGTATCAACACCATAAGACTGCTGAATGGTAACCTGATTTTTGCTGTAGTCATCAGTCGAGTCCGAGTAACCCATGAAAATGGTAGTACCGCTCTTGTTGACGGTTAATTGCTCTTCATAGACACCAGGGTAGATGAAAATAGTAGCATTGGTCTTGCTGGAGGTAGGTGCAGCGTTGAGAGCGGCTTGAATGGTGTCATAAGTAGTGACACCATCAATTGCATTCTTCGAAACGATGAGAGCACCGTTAGGAGGTACGGTACCATTGTAAGAGCTTGAGCCAGAGACTGTCACATTGGTAGGGGTCGTAGTATTGACCACTGCAGGCTGTGGTGTTACTATCGAACTCCAGTAAGTCTTGTCGATCCAGACTGTATCATCCATCACAGAGTCTAGAGTGTATGTATCAGAGGTCAAGAGCGTGGCATTGCCGAAGGCTTGACGTGCAGCAACGTTGTTTGCCCAAGATCCAGGACCAACATTGTTATACTCAGCGAAGGTGATGTAGTCAGTGCGAGGATCGGTAGCTGACCAGACCTTCCAACCAGATGGGTTGATTACATCGTCGAGATAAGAGTTCTTGACCACAACAAGTGCATAAGCGGAGTAGGGACGACCCAGATAGACTGAGTTGGTGAGATCAACCGTCGCATCAGTAGCAGCCGTGAAAAGGCACTGATCAAAGATATAGCCACCAATGGCGGAAGAAGAAGCACGGCTCTGAGCGGTCATAGCAGACTTTTGCCTCTTAGCACCGATAGTGCAACCCTTGAAGAAACTCTTCGAGTAACCCCAGATGAAGTCAATGGCTCCAGAGATGTAACAAGATTCGTAGTACTGGTAGCCAGTAGTCGCACCAGTAAGGAGAGTGTCTTGCCAACCTTGGAAAGAACATCCGTAAAAGCCAATGTCGTTACCGTAGATCGAGGCAGCAAGCGTCACATAACTTGCTTCCAGTCCATCACGATTATCAGAGTTGACGAAATTGATGTTGTAGAACGATATTCTGTTGGATGCAGTGGCAATGGTCGCAGTTTCCGCATCGCTATGGCCACTGGGCAGAGGCGAGACTGACAACCCGCGTGCGAAGGTGACGGTTACAGAGTTATCCTTGTAGCTTTGTCCAGGACTACCGGAAGTGTAACCAATAACACGAATGGCACCAGGACGGTTGATCGAAGGAATCTGCTCGTTGTAAGAGCCTGCATAGATGAAGATAGTCTGATTAGTACTATCATTGGGTAGAGATGCAAGAGCAGCAGTCAAGTTTGTGAATGAAGCATTGTGTTGACCATCAGCCGAGACGATGACAGCGTACTGAGGAGGAACACTGCCGCTGTCAGGGTGAGCATTGACTGATGAGGTACTGGTAGGCCCAGGAACACCTGAAGAGGTACTGCTAGCGCTACCAGTGGTTGTACTTGCAGGGAAGCTCCAGGACGGCTCATAACTCCATGCTGTCTGATCAATGAAGCTGGTATCGCCAACCCAAGCTGAGAGACTGTAACCTGCAACCTGATCGGCGGTCATATTGGTGGCAAAGGAAACACGAGCAGTTCCAGAGATCCATGCTCCGGGTCCAGTATTGTTGTATTCTCCAAACGTAACATTGGAGGTTTGAGGGTTTCCAGTCGACCAGACCTGCCAACCAGCAGCATTAATGTGCTTGTCGAGGTAGCTGTTCTTATAGACAACCGTCGCGTAACTGCTATAAGGACGACCAAGGTAACTGGCGGCAAACGTGTTTCCGTAAGTAGAGGTGTATGTGACCAGACACTCGTCAAAAATGTAGGCAGCTGGAGTGCTCACAACACGGCCTTGAGCAGTGACACATGCGCCTTTGGTGTTTGAAGCAATAACAGATCGATAGAAGTATGCTGTTCCAAATCCCCAGATAAAGTCAATAGAGCCTTCGACGTAGCAGTTCGAGAAGACTTGGGTGCCCTTATTGGCGAGAAGAGTATCTTGGAAACCAATGAAAGAACAGCCATAAGCGGCCATATTGTTGCCGTAGAAATCAGCTGCAAGAGCGGCAGTGTTGGCAGTCTGAGGGTAGCTGTTGATGAAATCAATGTTATACAAGGCCAGACCAGAATTATCATTGGTCTTCTTTGCGTTGATGACAGGAGTTTGTTCGTCCTGGCCAGCGCTTGTGAGGCGACCACTAGAGAATTGAACCTTGACTTGGTTCTGGCTGTAGTCATTCTTGAAGCTAGTCGCACCGACAAGAGTGACTTTTCCGTTCCTAGTGATGCTGAGCTGCTCGTTGTAAACACCTGGTTCAATATAGATGGTGTATGGCTTGCTGTCGTCGGGAAGAGCGGCAATGGCTGCAGAAATGTTGTTGTATTGGCAGACCGTAGCATTTTGAGATACTACTAAAGTCGCTGATGGAGTAGGAGTAGCGCAGGTACTTGAACTGGAAACAGACATGGTAGTACTGCTAGAAACACTGTTTGAAGGTGACGATACAGACGACGGAGTCGAGTTCGCTGAAGAGATACTGGCAGAGCTCGAAACGTCTGAACTTGAAACAAAAGAACTCGAGACTGATGAGGTCGAGGTAGAGGAGCTAGAAGCGGAGGAACTTGAGATAGCGGCTGTTTGGGCGGCGTCTGATTTCTGGATCGCGCTCAGAACACTAGCGTCTATCCAGGTGGTGTCAAATGAACCGTAGCCGGCGAATGCGTTTCCAAAGACTTTATCGATGGTGAAGGCAGACACCTGATCAACAGACAATTGAACATCGCAAACCCCAGCTCTGGACTGTGCATTGGCTGATGAATATGCACCGGCACCAAAGTTGGAGAACTCTCCATAGTAGGCAGCATAGTTGCAAGAGCCGACGTAGAATCCGCTGGGCGCAATCAAGCTTCCAAGATTGTTGTTACGGAAGATAGCTTGGGTGTAATTGGCATTAGGTGCTGCAAGATAGACATAGGAGTTGCTCAATCCAGCTTTCTGAACAACAGAACTGGAGTCAACTACCAGAGTAGCGTTGCCGGCAGTTGTAGTACCAGGAGCATAGCCTTTGCCATACATAATCAAAGCGTTGGAAGCGGTGGGAACGATAGTAGAGCCATACACATAGACAGTAGGATAATTTGCAAATAGTTTGTCAGGGCCTTCCAGGTAGCTGTTGGCGATCAGGGCAGTTCCGAAAGAGGAGAAGTACAGACCAGTGCTGCTTGAGATCAAAGCACAGTTGTAGATTCCGTGTTTAGAGCCTCTAACATATAGGGCAGGAGCAGTCCCAGATGTGGCAAGGTTGGTCAAGTTCAAATTTTTCAATGTAATACCTGTATTGGTTGAAGTGATGCTCACGACACCATTCGCACCACTTGCAATAATATTGACCTGATTCTGTGCCACGGAGCTAGCAGTTGGACCGATGATCGTTACGGTTTGACTTCCAAGGATTGCAACAGATTCTGAGTACGTGCCCGCTTTGACAACGACAGTAGGGACACCACTATTTTGGGCAGCATTGACGGCAGCATTGATGGCTGTGAATTGAGCCGAACCATCAAGAGCAACAGTGATTGCGGTGGCCAAAGGAGAAGAAGTACTGGAAGAGGCGATGGTTGTTGAGGCGGATGAAACGAGAGAAGAACTCGATGAGCTCGACACAATGAGAGAAGTAGTGGAGGAAGCGAAAATTGATGAGCCAATCGTCGAGTTTTGGCAAGCCGCAAGTGCAGCCAATCCAAATGCACTGGACAGGATTGAAGTCCTCATATTGGTGGTGGCCGCCTCCCAGAGAGGGGTAAGAACGAACGAGAGGAGTGGTGATAGAGTAAGAAACTGCTTGTGAGAGAAGATCAGCATCAAGGGCATGGCACTTACTATATTTTATAGTGAGAGAGCATATACAGAGCTCAACATCGTGCCTTTCGGCATCGCCGAGCTACAGCTAATTGGATCGTCGGCTTGGAGAACCGACTAGATCATGGGCGGCCATAGACTGAGTCTATGCGAGAGCGTAGAAGCTGTGGATGGCGGTCCCTGCTACTGTAGACGGCAATCTGCACGTGTAATCCTCCGATGTGGAGGCAAACAAGCGTCAAGCCATGCATGACACTAATAGAACATAGAGATACCAGCAGGTAGGTAACTTGGACCGAGAGTAGGGCTACAGCATTTCCTAGTTTGAAAGTCCATTGCCGCGCGAGATCGTGAACCTCAAGGTACACCTATCGCATTTTGTCGACGCTAGAATTGGCAATTTCGAAGATCGCTCATCAGCCTGGAAATACTCTGGCTACCAATTGAGGTTTTCTCACGCAGATTAGCAGAATCAAGGTTATCGGGTGAAGAAGATATCTTGCGGTTTGCCGGCACTATGAGTGAACTACAAGCCTTCCCGAATGAGCTTAAGGGCAGTGATGAAGTTTCGCAACTTTGGTTGCTGTTAAGCGAGCATAGGTCCCGTCTGCAGGAGAGCTGCACCGTAAGTAGATCCATAACATGTATTCTTGCACCAACTTCGTTGGTTAGTATTGTCGTCTCTGGCCCACACAAGACGAACAACTCGCGGTCGTTTCGAACCTTTCCAGCTTGTACCATGTCTAGATATCTCGGAAAGCATAGCGAAATTGGAGAGAGCAAGGATGCAGACTTCTCTAATGGCTTGTGGGCGACAACATCTGGCTCGTTCCCGGAAGATTGCCAGCCGGAAGCATGGATCGCAAAAGTCCACCACTTACGAAGAGATCAATGCAGTGGAAATTCGTTGCGCATGTGGTGAAGAGAGAAGGCTTGAGGTATCGCTTAAACACAGCCACCAAGTCACGGACGAATTGGCGGTGCTCCACCACCAAAGGCCGAATTTGGACTTGGGCGAGAACGTTTCAAGACCCACAAATTACCCCGAATAGTCGTTAGAGATCTGAAGCATGGTCCACCGGCACGCAGAGCAGCTGAAAACAAGACCACAAGACCCATGTGCGTGATGAAGGAAGGAAGCGACACACATCGCGAATTTTGCACAGCACTCTTGTCATGAAGGATGCAAAGTTTAACCACGCCCGAATCAGGCTTCCACAGGGTCTTCGAGTGAAGTTCTTCTGACTTGGTGTGACAGCTGCACAGAACCATCACCCTGACCAGGCGCTCGGGATCAAGACAATCCTCTGCATCGTGGACGATCATCTTGCGGGGGTTTGGAAACGATTCTGAAGAGCGCGGATCTGCATGCCCCTAAACGACCAGTCACCATATCGCATTTAGCAGATTGAAAGCGGCTCTCATCAGGGCTTTCAAGGCACCAGGAACACACATGCTCGGTTCCAGGAAAAGAGCCCGCACCACGGCAGAAGCGGAAAAATTCTACCAGTGAAGATATGGTACAAGGATGGTACATGCATGTATTGCGGGTCAGGCCGCCTTTGTCAATCATCCTTCATGCATGCTCGCCCAACAAGCTCAGGATCAAGATCAAAGACAAGCTTTTCCTTTCCTTGCCTCTGGGCCAGATGCATTCTTTGGAAATGAACAAAGCATTTGTGGTCAGAGAGATGTAAGCCGGTGCATTGAACCTGCTGTTTACTAGTATTTAGTGACTCGGATTAGATAGAGTGCCGAACTGATCTTTGTTGCACTCCGGAGTTGTGACCGCTATGCTTCGTTGCCGCTGGTAGTAGCCGTTGCCGTATGGCGGTCAGACGCTTAGTTCCGGTTCTTGAGATAGGTAGGGCTCTGTTCTTCACGATGCATAGCCACGATTTGGGCCTAATGCGACAAATCAATGCCTCGAATCGCCTAAACTTGGTTCGGCTACAAGGCTGAATCACGTTCCCGGCTGTCTATACACATAGCTCATAGTCGGGTGTACATGCCTTCATGATCATGGAAAAATTGTTCCGTCGAGCTGAACAGAGCTGAATATCGATCCTGACGTGGACCTGTCAAAGCTTGAAGGATCAGCTGCTATGTTATCGTGCTGAATCGATCCCTCTTCCTCTCGCGTATGGATTGACTTTTCGAAATTGCCGCGAGCGGCATACCATGTTTGGATGCCATGAAGATGTGAAGTCAGTGGTCTAGATACGATCACAGCTCATATTGAAGCTATAGCATAGCTCGTCAAAAGCGGAAACTTGCCATGTAGATCAAGACTCAACGGAGACTCAACGGAGCCGTTGCACAAAGATAAACGAGTAAAAAGATTGATTAGATAGTTACAGATATGATTGTGTGAAGTACACCAACAACGCCTCTCCCATGCAAACATGCAGTTCTCAAGGACATGATCAAGCCGGTCAGAACTTGGCAAAGGCAAGCTCAAAGGCAAGACCAAGAGTAAGCTTTGCGTGCTGGAGCATGTGATCGAAGTTCAAGTACTCGATCTTGTCCTCGGTAGTATGGATCTTGTTGTCGCTGTACTTGAAGTCACTCTCAATGACGAAGGCACTTGGGTAGCCGGCCTTGCTAGCACTGGCGTGGTCAGAGCATGCGTAGCCACACTTGGTCAGAACATAAGGAATGTCACAGTATGTGGTGACAACCTTCTTGATGAACTCAGTAAGACCAGGGTCGACGAAGTCGGTGATGACGCCAACGCTTTCGGGCTCGCCTGCGTCAAGCGTCTTCTGGACGTATCCAGTCATGTCCTGCTGAAGCATGGCCTTGACATCGCGACCAGCCTTCTCGTATGTTTGGAAGATAGCTTGGGATCCGAGCAGACCACCCTCTTCAGCACTGTACCAGTGGAACTCAACAGTGTTGTCCTGCTTGCCTTGAACGATGTCCTGGTTGAGCAGCAGGACACGTAGTGCCTCGAGAATCGTGACAGTGCCAGAACCGTCATCATCAGCGCCCGGCGCAGCAAGAAGCGAAGGGAAGAAAAGGTTGATGCTGTCCTGATGGGCACCGATGACGACGGTCTTGTTTGTCTTGCCAGGGAGAGTGGCAATGATCGAGTTTTGTCCCCAAGCGTGCTCAAAGTGCTTAACGCTTGCACCGTGTTTCAGAGCTCCAGCGTGGGCCAGAGTGTCATTGACCTGGCCCAGCAGCCAGAATGATGACTTGGCGCCATATTCACTCTTGTAGTAACGTGTGTGGAAGGAGGTAAAGGTCTCCAGGTGCTCGTGCATGTTTGACTTGGTCAGGTTACGGGCAAGACTCTTAACAGTCGAGTTGTATTCGGTATGGGCTGGGAATTTGACAGCTGCGTTGGACTTGACCACGGAGCCCAGGTCTGCTGTGTCGGTGATGTCGAAGAAGGAAACGCCTTCCTATCATGCAGTCAGTACAGTCTCTCTATCGTATGTTGGAAAAGACCTACCCTTCTCAGTGCCCACTTCTCAGCATCGGTCACCCACTTGGTCTCGCCAGGAGCAAGCTCGATCAGGTACTGCTCAGGCGACATGAAGCCCTGCACTTGCTGGGCTGCATTTTGAGCAATTCTAGGAACGCTGAATGCCTGTACGGCAAGACCGGACGCGCAAGCGGCAAGGATGGATGATGTCTTCATGGTTGGTATTGGTGGTCGCAGAAGCAGAAGATGAAAGATAGACCTTGTAGCTGGACGTGACTGCCTAGCGGTGGAGAGTTGACCGAACAACGCTTGTATCGAATGCGGCAGGCACGCACGTCATCGTCGGTCCTCGGAAGTCGCATGTGATCCTCTTCGAGTGTCGCTTCTTGCCGCACCAACAACTTGAGCTTGGCGTTATAAATAAGATCAAATCGCCAGAGTGAAAAGCTAGGGAAACTACGAAGGGCGTGCTGCAGGGAGGTAAAGTGAGCAAATCAGATATACGCACAATGCGCGGACTGTGAACAAATCGGGTATATAAATATCCTAAGCCAATCTCTTTTCATAACCCGCCTCGATAGTATAACGGCTAGTACGAAGGTCTCATATCGGTCATCGAAATGACCAAGCATGGCTTGGGTAATCCTTAGATGGGAGTTCGATTCTCCCTCGAGGCATCACTTTTTGCTCTTTTCTTTCGTCCCTCGTCATCGTTCCTGCCTTGCTCGGTCGCAACTCTTGAACCTCCATTTTATTGTTCGCTTGATGTTCACGACGCTTTTCTAATTTTCACTTTAGCAGTAGAAATCTGATGGGAAATTCTCCAATTTCGCGGCCGAAAGCACGTGAATCCGCGTCACCAAATTCGCCTCCATCGCGTCTTCCAGAAAGTTGGCGGACGAAACATCCAACCATCCATGGACAATTTACTGGATGGGCTGAATCGCGCTCAGAGGCTGGCGGTAACGTCGCCTTCACTTGCATTGCAGGTCCTAGCCCCTCCCGGATCTGGAAAAACCAAAACACTCACCGCACGTGTATCTTATCTCATTGCTGAACGAGGGTTGAAACCATGGAACATTATCGTTTGTACTTTCACGGTGAAGGCTGCACGAGAGATGAAAGAACGAATCAAAGACCTCGTTGGTGACGGCCTGGAAAAGAAACTCATCCTGGGCACATTCCACTCTGTTGCTCGACGCTTTCTCGTATCATATGGCAACTTGATTGGCATTGACAAGAACTTCGGTATTGCCGATACGTCGGACAGCAGAGCCATCATCACTCGCATTATCAAACGTCAAGGCTTCTCTATCGAACCAGGAAGTGCTGGAGCGAGGTTATCCAGTCTCAAAGCCAAAAGCATCAGTGCAGAGCAATACGGTGTCACTCGCAAGGCCGCTGAGCAGGAGTTCAGTATTGTCTACGCTGAGTACGAAGAAGCTCTGCGAACCTCCAACTTGTTGGACTACGACGATTTACTTCTCCGTTGTGCCTTGCTTCTCCGCCAACATCCCGAGTGTGTCTCCAACATCGAGGCCGTTCTCATTGACGAGTTTCAAGACACGAATATTGTACAATTTGAGCTTATGTGCCTGTTCTCCCAGTTCAAGAAGAATGCCACCATCGTTGGCGATCCTGATCAGAGCATCTATGGTTGGCGAAACGCTGAGATCAAGAACCTTGAACGAATGGAAAAGCGATTTCCTGGCACGGATGTCATCCATCTAGAAGAGAACTACAGATCAGCAGGAGCAATTCTTCAATCAGCTCAGCAAATTATTGAGCAAGACGAGAGCAGACCTGCCAAGGCTCTCAAGCCTACCTTCGGTATTGGAGATCGACCAGTTCTTCGGAAACTCCCTACGGCTGACGCAGAAGCAAAATGGCTTGTTTCAGAAATTAGAAGGACACAGGCTCTCAGCGCAGAACTGCTCAAGCCCAATGACTTTGCGATTCTGCTCAGATCTGCTGCTGTATCTAGGCACATCGAATCAGCACTCGGAAACTCTGGCATACCATATCGCATGGTAGGAGGAACCAAGTTTTTTGATCGTATCGAGGTCAAAATGGTGTTGGACTATCTTCGTGTCATCAACCAACCGGATCACAACGACGCGCTGCTACGGATCATTAACGTCCCCACTCGTGGTGTTGGCGATGTCACCATCAAAGGTCTAATAGACGAAGCGGAGAGAAAAGGCAGTACACTATGGACGATAGTCTTGAACATCGTGCAAGGAAAAGCACGATCAGATATCAAACTCTCCGCTCAAGGCTTAAAAGGCTTGACAGATCTGGTCAATCTTGTCTTGACTGGTCGGAAGAAAATCACAGGCACAGAAGATCAGCAAGCATCTCCCTTCGAACTGGTCGAATATCTGATCAAGAAGCTGGAACTCTCCGAATTCTTACAGAAAAAGTATCCGGATGACTACGAAACTCGATGGGCCAACATCGAAGAACTCAAGGCACAGACAGCAGACTTGACAGCAGCCATGGCACGAGGCGAGGAGTTCCTCGAGGAGGAAGTTCTGCCAGATATTGAAGGGTTGGAGCAACGACTCATCAATCCGAACGAGGATGCGTTGACTTTATTTCTTGCAAACATTGCACTTTCGAGTGAAGCGCAACGCAAGGAAGATGAGAATCCTGATGAGCTTCAACAGCACGTCACAATATCAACCATTCACGCAGCAAAAGGTCTCGAATGGCCTGTTGTTTTCATCCCCGCTTGCTATGAAGGCTCAATACCACATTCAAGAGCCGATGACATCGATGAAGAACGACGATTGTTATATGTCGGCATGACCAGAGCTCAAGCCCTGTTGTACTTGAGCTGCCCCAACAAGAACAGTCAATCTGGAGAAACTACCATGTCTCACTTCCTCACACAAAGAGGCATAGAAGCTTTCTTCGAGACTCAAGGCCCTAAGCTTTACGATGACGCAGTGGTTGAGCTGGCAAGAACACTGAGAAGAGACAAGCCTGCGCTGAAGCTACTCATTGAAGCACGCAGCACATATGAAACTCCTGAAGACACGCATTGGCCCATAGATGGCACTTTCCCTAAGAGCGAAAACACAAGATGGGACCAGGGCCGCGAAATCGAGTTCAAGGAAGGGCTCTATGCAAACAAGCGACGAAGAATGGATAATGAGCAGCAAAATGGACCTACGGTACCAGTTGCTGGGCTCATGCCAGCCTCTAAAGTCACAATGCAGAACCCAGCAGGTTTCTCCACAGCATCAATGACCATACCGCCAAAGATCACGACAGCTGCTTCGCGCATGCAAGAGATGAATTCTGCTCAAGAGGAAGCCAGACTGCGAGACATCGACGCCCGGAAAGCGCCAGTTAAAAAGAATAAAGCAGCCGAAGGGACCGCCAGCATCATGTCCTTCTTTGGCAAACCGAAGATTGCCAGCACAACACCACAATCGTTGGAGTTGACACGTACGACCAGTGTACCTGAGACACATAAACCACCTAAAGTTCCATCCTCCATGCCTCGCCACGTCTCCAATCCTCTCAACGACGTCTCAAATCTATCCTCTTCACGACCATCGACATACCAACAACAGCCAGCCACAACCTTACCAGCAAAAACGGCACAAATATCGGATTTCAAACTCCGCACCACACCCTCAACAAAGCCCACAACTACAAAAAGCAGTGACAATGCTTCAACGGCTTCAAAACCATACACTTTTCTCTCCAGCCCTCCGCCAGCCGAACCACCATCTTCTCCGCCAGAAGAAGCGACTGTACGAAAAAGTGGAGGCGCTGGAGAAAAGTCAGAAGCTTTCAGACCAGCGACTACATTCCATGCTACCAGTGTTGCGCAGGTGGGCAATAGGGTTGGCACCACACGCAGATTGGGCATGGGACGTAGTTTCAAGCCTTGGAGCGCTAGAGGCGGACGAGGTGGTTGAGAAAGAAATCTTTGGTTCCTCGATGCTATTTCTTGTGTTTTGCTATTGCAGCATTTTCAGGCGCGTTTGGTAGTGGAGTCATGAAGCATGATAGTAAACGTGCAGTCTTTTGTTTTGTTTTGTTTTATAGCGTGAGAGTATACCATTGCAAGGAAGGACTATTAATAAAGCGAACTGTCAAACCCTGTGTAGACTGCAGAGAAAGCCCTACCAACGGAGAGTCAATTTCTAATCGAAAGTGTTATGGCAGGCGGAGCCTTCTGGAAGTCAGTCGTGGGATGTGAACACAGGCCGAGCTTCTTACATGTATGTGAGACATTTCTCGTGTTTCTTTTGACTGGTTCCTGACAGTAGGGGCAGCGTCTCCAGTTGAAGACTTCAGCGTATCTCTGTGGTGCTACAGCCGGAGATGCCTGGAATTCGTCGCAAGACATTCCTTCATGCCATGGGGACTCGCATTCGTAGCAGTTTTCGGTAGCACATATGCTGCATATGACCTTGCGCATACTGACCCTACCCGACTTGGAATCGGCGAAGTGGATCTGACCATGACGACCTGACTCTTCATTTCTGCACCAGCGGAAGTAGGGGCTTCTCTCCTAAGCGTTACTTGTTTAGCATCACCATACCATGGAATCCGGTGTGAGAGAGTCCTTGTGCTTACCCTGTGATTTCTTGCGACGATGTTTTCGTGTTCGTGGAATTCGAATGGACATAGGCGCTGGACCTTCTCTCGACCCCAGTCTTGACCATATCCAGTACAAGGGTAAGTGGTTTGTAGCAACTTCATCATTGATCGGGCTGCCTGAAGGACGCAGCTTCCGCAAGTGCTCTTGATTGCCTCACAACAATTTGGATGGTCGTGACGAAGGTCCGGATCGTATTGAGTCCTGTTACGACAGGCTGCGCAGTACATGATACCTCTGGCGGCTTGCTGTTGCATTGTTCGTGGAAAAATATTGATAACGGAACGCCGACCTTGATAGAATCTGCTCGAAAATGATGTTGAGAAGAGAAGCGTGATGGAAAGTCTGGAAGATTGTTTTGACGATTCGCTTCGGTTGAGAGGCAGGTGCGAAGTAGGAAAGTGCCAATGAGCAACTGCTGGTACGCAACTTCCACTCACCGTGTGCTAAACTACGCAAAGCACGTAGCTGCAGGAATGCACAATACTTCTCGAGGAAAGGGAATTGTCCACTGAGAGACGAACAATCATCGGCTCTCATTGGATACATCTCTGCTTCCGAACAAAACTATGCCTTTTTGTAGTGTGGTTTCTGGCTTATGCCAGTGCGGAAGGAGGCTGAGGGTTACGGACTTTGTCACATGATGTTCGTAAAGAAGCACTGTTTCCTGACTCTGTCTCCTAGACGATCGCTCTTTAGCATGTGTGACTATCAAAACGCAGAATACTTTTCCAGATCAGCGCAGTCTCAGAGGAAGGTTGTGATATAGTTGATCTCACTAGGCCATAACGAGATTCGCAGACCATTGTGCCCGTTGAACAGGAGAGTCATTTCTGCGGAGCTTGATGTTGACGACCTCAAAGGTTGCTATGCATCGATTCTCGCTTCGTGCCTGCCTCACAAGTCAAAGAGGGGCATCATTCTTACACATAGCATTTCCTGTCGATTAGTGTTACTATTTTGTACATCAGCAGTCTGAGCATGGAGTCACCTTCCTTCCCAATCGCAAGCTTATTATGAAGTCATCAAGAGTAGAAAAAGGAACATGTTTTTGTTGAAGGTAGAAAAGATCATCATTTCTTAGTCGTAGCTATGTCTGTCATCCGATAGCAGGTATAATGCTTCCAATCATAAAAAAGAAAGGCTTTTGTCCAAAAAGTCCCTCCCAATCGTCAACCCAAATAAGAACGCCGAAAGCTATGTCATAAAAGCTTTTGAGAATATATACACATCATCGTCATACGCTTAGATGAAAGCGGAGGTGACAGACTTGACCTTGGCCATGAAGCCAGTGGCCTTGACCTCCTCGTCCTCATCGTCAGCGAACTCGCGCATGTCGGTGACAACATCCATGTCAGAGGCACTGATCCACAGCTTCCACTCGCGGGTCCAGATCTTCCAGCCGGCGTAAAGGGTGAAGATGACAGGACCGGCAAGGTAGGACTCGAAGAAGTCCTGGGCGTCAGGCTTGCCACCAACGGGGAAGAGAGCGACGTAGAACTGAGCAACGAGACAGATGACGTTGAGGAAGAGACCAATGTAGCTGCCAATGACACCGTACTTGGCCTTGTAAGGCAGCTGCTCAACAGTGCGACCAGAGTGTGCCCAACCCTTGCGGAAACGGATGTGGGCAAGGTTGATGCTACCCCAGACGAAGAAGTTGGCAAGACCAGTAAGGGACAAGAGCCAGGTGAAGAGAACGTTGCCGGCAGCTGCCAAGTTGACAAAGGCAAGAAGACCCATGGCCATCTGGATAATGATAGTGGGGACGGGACGGCCCTTCTTGTCGACGTAGGCGAGGAACTTGGGAGCCATGCCACGAGCAGCAAGAGCCTGAAGAGTGCGGGTAGAGGCAAAGGCGGAGCTGTTGGCGACACTGATGACGGAGACTGTGATCACAGCGTTGAAGATGGAGGGAAGAACCTTGATGCCAGCGAGGCGGATAGCAATAACGAAGGGAGAGTACTGCGAGTGAGCACCGTGGGCGTGGAGAAGGTTGGGGTTGCTGGCGGGAACAACGAGACCCAGAATGAAGAGGCCGACGATGTAGAAGAAAGCGATACGCCAGAAGACCTGCTTGACAGCCTGGGGAAGAGCCTTTCTAGGGTTGGCTGATTCAGCGGCTGCGAGACCGACCAATTCAGTACCACCGAAGGCGAAAGAAGCGGTAACGAAGACGCTGCAGAAGCCCTTGAAGCCATTGCGGAAGGCTTCGCCATTTTTCCAGTACATTACTCCAATGTAACCACGAGTATCGGTAGGAACACCACCACAATCGATGACAATGCCGAGAATGATGAAACCAATGCATGCCATGATCTTGATGATCGAGAGGACGAACTCGACCTCACCGTAGGCTCTCACGCCTAAAAAGTTGATTGCACCCAAAGCAACCAAGAAGATAGCGATCCAGACACCGACGTTGATGTGGGCAGCTTCTTTCCAGAACTTGATGGTGATGGAGGCAGCGGTCAACTCGAAAGGAAGGATAGTCAACCATTGAATGGCGTATTGCCAGCCAATTGCAAAGCCCCAAGACTCGGAGATAAATCGGCAGGCATAAGTGAAGAATGCACCGTTGACAGGGTACAGGACTGTAAGCTCTCCAAGAGCCTGCATGGTTGCCATCAACATTATACCAATGATTGAGAAACCAATGATCAATGATGCAGGACCGCCAGTATGGAGGGCACCGCCGGCACCGACAAAGAAGCCGGCTCCAATAGCGCCACCAATGGCAATCATCTGCATGTGTCTGTTCTTAAGAGAACGCTTGAGTTCATTCTGCTGACCAGTCTGAACCTCATACTCGGGCGCCTCGCTGATAGTCTGGGACAAGCCCTTCTCGGCATCGAAAGCCTTGTTTGCGTCCATATTGAGGACTGGAAAAGAGTGTATAGGAAAGAGAGAGACGAAGGTGTCAAACGAGTGACTGATTGATTGTGATTGTCTGTTGATAGAATGCTGTGAAAGAGGGCCATAGTATGGGTATTATATGTGCTTGGAGTACCTACTGGGATACAGTCGTGTATGCTTCTAGAACCGAGTGGCGCGCCTGGAGCCGTTGGAGGTTTTGGGTGAGATCACGCTAGCCGAAGCTTCTCGCATAACCACACCACTTACCATTTGGCATCTCGGCCGATCCTACCAAGTCTGGAAAATCCAAGAACAAACAAGCAAAAGCATATCCTTATTCTTGAGAACAGTGATGCTTCGTGAGTATGGGTCAACGCACTTGGAGCGTAGCTGTTTGGCAATGGCAATGGCTTCAGGAGTGCGACTCCCTCAGCCTCACACGAAGTCTCCGACCAGCAAATGCTTTGGTGCTTTGATAGGAATTCCGATTCCGCACAACGATGAATATTAAATTTGGTACAGTCTTGATGTCTGTCGCGTGCGCAAGAGACAAAGATGGTAAGATAGCCAATCATGGGGCCGAGACCTACGCAAGGTCCACGCGATGACCATGCGAAATCAGATCACGGTGAGATGCTGAGAACTACAATAATGTTAGCGCAACGGTGAGTACTTCTCCATGGGGTACTCGTATCTGTGCTCTACACCAAACCAGCCTCGAAGTCCAGATGGCGTTCCGGCGGCGCCAGGACCGTCTGTAGCCGCGTCGAGACGAGGTATTTGCCAGCAGGCAAGAATGAGACTACCAGCCTAACGTCGGCACAAAGCTTTGCCCAAGTCAGAACGTATTGTCAGAGATAGCCTTCCCATGGGGTATCGAGATAAGGTCTCATAGCCTGACATCTCGGTCGCGCGGGCAGCGGAGAAAGAGTCGTGAACTGTCAAGGGGCAGAGCTGAGAAAGAAGCAAAGAGAAGAAGCACCGAGCATTTGGCCGGAGAGCATATACCATCAGAAGAGGTAAAGAACAGTCGACGTTCTCGTAGACACATGTTGTGCCATTTATCCCATGGGCACGTGCTCTTTAGCGCTCCATAGCGATGAGCTTGTGTTTGCTATCAACTCCTCTGCGATACACATTCAGTGCGCGAGAGGTAAAAAGAGGAGATGAGAAGAAACGTACAATAATTCGACCGAGCGGGTCTACATTCTCTTTATCAATAGCCATGACTCTCGGTTACAGATCACAGCACGCTATCTCACTGGGTAGAAGGAATGTGTATCTTGACAATTGGATAAAATAATTTCATTTCGTATTGTTGATAACTTAGAGAAATCAATCAGGCTTTGTCACGACAAAGCACATGGTGCCACCTGTACCAACAAATTCATTAAAAACATAAACATGGCCGCCTGCAACATCTTAAACGTGCTCGATCTGGTCAGCGTCTGACATGTTACGCTTCTCGTTGTAGGCGTTTTGGTGAAGTGCCTCTGCAGTGTCCACGTCATGAATGACTCTCATGTCACGGCCCTTGAACTCAGGACCGACGAAAGTAAGGACGATAACATAGGCGTACACGCAGCCGAGGAAGATGCAGATGACCTTGCCGTAGTTGTATCTTTCGACCTTGTGAACAGGAGGAAGAGGGAACTGTGTTCCGAGCTGAGCCTCGATGGTAGAACTTGCGCTGGAGGCAAGGTTACCAAGTTGGTAAGCGGTACCGACGACAAAGGTTCTGAAAGCACCGGGAGACAACTCCATGAGATGGATGGGGATAACACCCCAAGCACCCTGGACACAGAACTGCTCAAAGAAGGCAGCTGCCATGACAGCCTTGGACGAAGTGAAGGTGTAGGGGTAGAGCAACGCACCACCAACAACGCAAGCCACAATGATGGTGAGACGACGACCGAAGATGGTAGAGCAGTATCCCATGATTGTACCACCACAGATCGCACCCAGGTTGGCAACGACTTGAGTGACAGTAACAGCGTTGGCGTCGAATCTGTATTGGTTCTTGAGCATGGTAGGGTAGAGATCTTGACTTCCGTGAGACATGAAGTTGAAACCAGCCATCAACAAAACCATGTAACAAAGGAGGAGCCAATGGCGCTTGAGAGCAATCTTTCCCTCGGCAATGAAGGTACCTCCAAGGCTGGGGCTGCCAGATTCGCGCACAGCTTGGCGCTCGCGGTAGGCTTGGGTCTCAGGAAGACACAGTCTGAACAGAATGAACAAGACAGGAGGGCAAGCGCCGAACCAGAAGAGTGGGCGCCATCCATGGGAAGTGGTGTTGACAAGACCACGGGCGAAGACTACAGCGAGCAAGTATCCAAAGGCGTAACCTTGCTGCAGCATTCCACTGATGATACCACGAGCCTCCTGTGGGCAGTCTTCAAGTGCTGTCGCGGCAACGTTTCCGTAGAGGCCTCCCATAGCGATACCGAAGAGTGCACGGACGGCAAGGAATTGTTTGTATGTTTGGCAAAAGCCGGTGCCGAGTTCAAGGACGATGAAGAGAAGGTTGTTGACAACGAAAGGCCACTTGCGTCCGTAACGGTCTGCTGCAATACCGAAGCCGATAGCACCGACCGAGCGGAACATCAGAACCAGTGTGATACCCCAGGTAATATCCTTTGTGGTTTTTCCGAAAGACTTGGCGAGATCAGACACTGTCAATGAGACGGTGAAAAAATCGAAAGCTGTAGTGAAGGCACGATTAGCACCAGTCCTGAAAAAATTTGCCTTCTTGAAGCCTTGACTTACCATCCCAGGTCCATGCGATGAATGAGCAAGCGAAGAAAAGCCATTGTTGCTTGTTGAGCAGTCTCAGAAGACGAATTGGATTGTCCACCTTAGTCATTGGTGGTTTGAGTGTGGAAACTCGAGTGGCAATGTATCTACCGACAGACATCGACTCGGTTGTCTCGCCAGTAGCAGGGAGGTCTTCCTCATAGTGAGCGGCTTGGGTCTTGTCCATTGTAGCGAGAGTGTCTGTCTATCGTTCGTTAGCTAGGCTCATATGAGAAGCGTGCTGGAGCTTGGGGAAGCTTGGTATCGCGCCAAGTGCATGACAAGCTCACTGCCCAGACGAAATGCCCAGGAACATGAGAAACATACCTGGACAGAAGAAAGCGTTGAAAGAAGGGTCGCGCTTTGTGTGCAAAGAGCTGGATTAAAGACACCAGAGTCGTTGCACAACAGGAACAGTGCTCGATCAGAAGGAAACAGGATGGGTCACACCCCCTCCTTAAATATCTTCGAACGACCTCTCCAGGATCTCCGGGAATGAGAAAAAAGCATTGGCCGTGTCCTGGGGGGAGTCGAACTAGTCGTGGCGCTATTGATGAGCCTTTACTGTGTTGGGTATAGCGGGCCTCGTCGGTCGGCTGAACTATGAGGAGACTCCGCGATTTCTCCATGGTGAAGAGCGCAAATCCGGAGACATGTGCGTGGGGTCAATATTTGGGTTCCGAAGACATCCTAGAGAACAGGTTCTCGAACAATGATTTGACAAGCTAAGAGCTCAAATTACGATCCCGAACAGAGCCATCAAAGTCTCGCTCTTGATGCGCCACGGACGGTATGGCTTTATCGAAGCACTTTCCTTGGCCATGACTAGCATGTCTTGATGAGCTTGTACGTACCCTTGGCAGTCAAGCAGATTGAATGCTAGAGAGTTCTCATCCTCTATGCGACTGGGGAAATGAAGACTCGAGACTCATCCGAGCGATCTTGATGATAGGAAGTGATGGGGCTACTGTATTGCATCTGGGCGGCTTCGGCGCATGAAACGGAGAAGGTGGTGCGGTGCACGTGGTGCGCGGCCTCGAAACGTTGCTCGGACTCATGCGAGAATTACAAGATTTCTGGCGACAAACGCTCACGCTTGTGTGTGCCAGTGACATGCGAAAGCATTTTGCTCCTGCTTCGACACACTGTCACGTTGCCCCGGATTAATCACGAGAACAATCCGGGCCATGGACGATATAAGGTTCCGAGAAAACGCCGCCACATTGTACTCTAGACAAGTGTATGGCATCGAGCGTACGAACGTTTGATCGAGATTCTTAAGACCAAGTATGTAGAACGTATCGATATCGGACTTAAACTTGACCAAAATCGCGCGGAGACAAACTTTTACCAGCCCCTGGTACCCGGTGCACCCTTGACAGACTGTCTCACGATATCGCTGGTCATCCAGCCTCCATAGAAATCACCTGGCTGTGGCTCGACCAGTTCTCCGTCGACGTAGCACTCCCATCGTGGGTCGGCGTAGAAGGATACATAGTCTTTGATGTCGGCAAAGGTTGGAGTTGGGTCTTTGTACGTCCAAGCGCGGCTTTCTACCTTGTCGCCGGATGGTGTTTTGAAGGTAAAGTAGTTGGCGGTACCTTTCCATTCACAAAAGGTCCGTCGAGATGTGGGAGTCAAGTCTAATCTGATGCAAGCTGGTGGCAAGTAATAAGTAGGCGGGTGGTAGGTCTCAAGTACCCAATAGGCGCGGTCGGTAGAAGCAATGGTTTGGCCATCAGGGCCAGGGAATTTGATCAGTATATTTTTCTTGATCTGCTGCAAAGCAGGTGGACGTGGGAATGTTCGAGGGTCCAACATAATAGATGGCGGTAGGTTGTGCTGTATTTATATTGGCTGCGGAGGCGGAATTGGTAAATAGATGGAACGTGGCTTGGTTATAGATAATTAAAATATGGTAAAAGCGATAATGTTGCCGACGGTATAGCAGAGCAAATGGCCGAGAGATTCTGGAGAAGCATGACGCTCGAAGCATGATGCAGGCGTAGCTTGGCAGGGCCGGCAACCAATCATGTGGCCTGCTCGATGCTGCTAACCGGGAAATTATAGCGGCACCCCCAGTCCTCCCGGAGCCCCCAGTCGGTACTACATGTAGTAAGTCTCTGCTCCGGTCTTGCAGCCCTACTAAGGCCTGCAAGAATAATGGTTTTTGCTATAAGAATAATAGAATTAGCGGGTTCTAACTAGGTTACTAGATTAAACTTAGGATAAGGTTAATAAAGCTTAAATTTTTAATAGTATAGTAATTTAAGGTATAATAACTATCTATAACCGGCATAGTAGGTTAATCTAGTATATACTTAAGAGGATAGAAATAATAGTTCTAGTAGCCTTTATTATATTACTATTTACTACTACTATAAAGCTATTTACTACGCTATAGCTATATTACTAAAGAATTACTAATAATATATAAGCTTACTATTTAGAGATAAAAAAGGAGGTTACTAGTATATAGGCTATAAAGAAGGAAGAGATAGTAGTATTAATAAAGTACCTTACTAAGGTAGTATTAACTAGTCTTATATAAGTAGTAATAGTATAATAGATCTAAAGTATTAAGTTACTAGTATAGGTATTAGTATAGTAATTATCGATAGTAGAGTATTCCTATTATTAAGTTTAGCTTATATATAGTTATGCCTTATACTATTTAAGCTTCCTCCTTTTAAGTAGTTAGCTTTTTAATAATAAGCTCGCTTCTTATATACTACTAGCTTATAAGGGTAACAGCCTTTTTAGCCTTTAGGTATATTAGTCTTATTAATCTACTAATGTCTATTAAATTTATCTAGAAGAAGATAGCCCTTTAGTTATATAGTTAACTTATAGAAGATAAGGTATTTATAAGAAATACCTATAGTAGCTTAAAAAGCTCCTATATAGACACTAATATAAAAGGTCCTTACTAGCCTACTATAGTTATAATTATTAGTATAATAACTCTTTTAGATAGTATTAATAGCTATATTATACTATTTCTTAGCCTCCTTAAGAGTATAGCGATAAATCTTATAGATATAGCTTTAATAGAAAGGACTAGTATATAAGTAAGCTATATATTTTAACCTACTTATAGACTATATATAGCCCTTTTATTAAACCCTCTAGTTATTATAGAGCTTCTTAAAGAGGGTTAGAAGGTTGTTATATAAGTTATTAAGCTATGCTTTAATAGTAGTATAAGTGCCTTTAAGGTAAGAGGTCGTTAATTCTCTAAAGTGCATAATTTAATTAGTCTAGTACTACTTAGATTCTTAGAAAAGAGTAAGTCTTTTTAAAAAGTTATATATTCTTACCTTAATAAAGCAAATTTAAAAAGGCTACTACTCTTTATAGAAATAGTTAATAAACTTAGAAAATTCGTCCTTAAATTTAGTTACTCTTATATTAAAATTAGCCTCTATTAGCAAGTTAAGTACCTTATAAAACTCCTTTTATATAGACTAAGTCTACTTAGACTTAATATAGCATTTTTCCTTTTTACTCTATACTTATATATAGAAGCCTCTAAGCTTATATACCTTATTTAGGATATCCTTATTTATATGCTATTAGTATATAATAGAAGGAACCTCTAGAAGTACCTTATTAAGTATATTAAAGAAGGCTTAAGATTAGTCACTTATAATAAGTTATAAATAGTAAAGGAGGTTCTTTTTTTTAAGTAAGATTTTAATATTATTAAGTACTTTAATAAAGTCCTTTTTAGCTTTACTAGAGACGATAGTAACCCTAAGGTATATAGTAGTATTTTAAGTAGTCTTTATAATAATATTAAGAAGAGGAAGGTTATATATATTAGTACTATATATATAGTTAAATAGAAGGATATCTAGATAGTTATAAAAGATCTTAAGTAAGGTTAGGTATATTATTAGTAGGTACTTAATCTTACTAGTATCTAAATTTAGTTAGTATTTATAATAGAATAGCTTATTATATAACCTATTAAAGAGCTATTCTATATAAGTAGTAATAGTAACCTTTTTAAGGTGCTACTTTAAGACTTAGTTTATAAGGTTATATTAAAGGATAAGGACTTCTAGCTTATATTAATATAGATAGTTTAGTATATATAAATAATAGTAGGACTTTAAGTGCCTATTAATTATAGCCTACTAAGTAGTACTTAAGGACTACTTATAAAGGCTAGATAGAGTAATAGGTAGATTAGCTATATAGTTATAGGTATTCTTATCGATATGTTATATCTCTTATAGCCCCTTTAGCTTTAAGGGCTCTAAGGCTATAAGGACTACCCTTATCTTATAGTCTATCTTAATTAAAGAAGCTCTATAGTAATAGTAAGTCTTTTTTATAAGCTTATTGTAGTTTCTTAGCTTACTATAGTACTTATACTTCTAATTATACTTATAGATAATCTTATCTTTGTTTTTAAACTAACAACCTTTAATAACTCTAACTAGTTTAAACCTATATTAACAACCCTAAGTATTACTAGCTTTAATAGTAGTAGTAAAAAAAGGGTATTAGGCCTTAAAAAGAGTAGTATTAATATAGTATTAGTATAGTAAAAGAAGTAGTAAAAGAGGTAGTAAGTTATTTTTAGGATTTGCACTTATTATATTACCTCTTAGATTCTAATTAATAACTTTATTAGTATATAGTACTACCGATACTTAATTAATTCTTATAGTTTAAATAACATCTTATAAAAAGAGGTCTAGTATTAATAATTTATAATTTTCCTAGCTTATATCGATAACATAGTGGTGGAGTTATGCATGGTAGAAGTTAAAGTGGTAGATAGCTAAGGTGCGAAGCCGGAGCGGGAGCCCCTCGGAGTTATCGGAGTACTGGGGGCCTCGGGGCCACTGGGGGTGCCGCTATAAATTCCCCTGCTGACCCGTCTGTTGGAACTTGCGAGTCGAAGCAAACACTGCAGTGCGGGGTGTCACAGTAAAAAGAAGACATCATCTTGTCTCGAGCGCGAGCGACCCTTGGTTGTCTTTCTCTAGATGCTACGATAGTCACAGGGGCGCGGCAATCTTGCGGTCAGCGACGGACCATCTGGAATCAGGAGGAAGCGGTGCCTGAGGCCTAAAGAAGCTCGGGCTATTCTTCTGCGGTGTTATTTCAGTCTTTTGTTTGTCTCGGGCACCTGCAGACTACAGCATACCTTAATCGACCCTTGATTGCGTACGCCCAAATACAATGCCGACTCCTCCGAAGCCGCGACCGTCGTCGCCGTCACAAGCAGCTTCAACTCCTCGTCCCGTACTCGCTCATGTGCCTGCGAACCCTTCCGGCTTGCGCGTGTCGCATACCCTATCGTCGCCCGAGAACCCTTCCATGATCCTGGGCGCCGCAGACAGGAGTCGTTCACCAGAAGCCATGTCCGACGTACCGCCCATGTCCAATGGCGAACACTCCGAGCCCTCCGTACGCACTGGTCTTTTAGAACAGCAGAATTGGGATCAAAGGCCCAAGTTCTTGCAACACTATGGCAGCACATTCAGCACAGATTCATACGATCCAAGAGAAGGCCTCGAGAGCGGCACTGTTACTCCTCACAGCTTGCTCGATGAAAATGCCACCGATGGTCTCCTTGGTGCTGGCTCGGGCAGCAACATGAGCACAACAAGATGGCTGGCCAAGCAGCATGGTGTCAAGAGCGAGTCTACCATGTATGTAGCACACTCCCTTCCCAATATACCTCTTCTGCCTTCTAAACCTGTTTCCCAGGTACCTCCATTACTATCTCCCTGTGACAAATTGGATCCGCCAGTATCAATGGAAGTTTCTGCGCGGTGATCTGGTTGCTGCCTTGACAATGGCTTCCTTTTACATCCCCATGTCTTTGTCCTACGCCTCAAACTTGGCCCACCTGCCACCCATCAATGGTCTCTACGCTTTCGTCTTCAATCCATTCATATACGCCATATTCGGCACTGTACCGCAATTGGTCGTCGGGCCCGAGGCTGCTGGTTCACTTCTCACTGGTCAAGTCGTGCGTGAGAACATCAGTTCAGGGAAGCACAGAGACAACGACTTCGCAAGCAACACTCAAATCGCCGGTATGGTCACTGGAATCTCAGGCGCAATCATTTTGCTTGCTGGCCTCTGCAGACTCGGCTTCTTGGACAGTGTTCTGAGCAGACCTTTCCTTCGAGGCTTCATTAGTGCCATTGGCATTGTCATTTTCATCGACCAACTCTTGCCTGAGACTGGCATGACTGCACTTATTGAACACGATCCCAGCGGTGCTGCACACGGCAGCTCTCTAACAAAAATCGTCTACCTTTTCAGGCATATCGACAAAGCACACAAATTGACTTGCGCTGTATCGTTTGGTGCCTTTGCCATCGTCATGGTTTTCAGGCAGCTTAAGAGAAGCCTGCAACCCCGATATCCTTCAGTTGCCTATTTTCCCGACCGTTTCTTGGTCGTTGTGTTCTCTGCTCTATTCACCTGGAAGTTCTCGTGGGACAAGCAAGGTCTTGATATCTTGGGCGACCTGAAGACTACAGGCAAGCCCTTCCAAGTACACTTTCCCTTCCAGCCATCCATGATGGAACACGTCACCGACGCTTTCTCAACCTCATTCTTGATCGCTCTACTCGGCTTTTTCGAAAGCAGTGTCGCAGCCAAAAGTCTTGCAAATAGTACGACAAAGATTGAGAAAAAGGTTGACAAGGATGGCAATGAGTACGAAGAGGCAGATGGCATTGTCAACATGACTGTCTCTGCTAACCGCGAGTTGGTCGCCTTGGGTGTTGCAAATATCTTCGGAGGCTTGTTCATGGGTATTCCTGCCTTTGGTGGTTATGGAAGAAGTTTGGTGAACAAGAACACTGGTGGAAAGACGCCGATGAGCAGTGTGTTTTTGTCCCTGATCACCGTCTTCTGCATTCTGTTCTTGCTGCCATACTTTCACTACATCCCCGTAAGTTCTATCACCCAAGACGGATCAATAAGCAGACTGTCTGAACTAACATATTCGAACAGAAAGGCGTACTTGCCGCTATGATCTCGGTCGTGGCATACTCACTAATCGAGGAAGCACCCCACGACATCCACTTCTTCTGGTCAATCAGAGGCTGGAACGAAATCCTACTCATGGTCCTGATCTTCCTGACAACCTTCTTCTGGAACCTACGCATCGGCATCGCCGTCGGCATAGGTCTTTCCCTCCTCCGTCTCCTCAAACACGCCACTCGCCCACGCATCCAAATCCTCGGCCGTGTCCCTGGCTCCCGCAACCATTTCGACAGCGCCGAACACGGCGGTCTAGAATTTATCCCTCACGTTCTGATTGTCAAGATTCCTGAGCCTTTGACGTTTGCAAACACAGGAAGTCTCAAGGATCGATTGAGGAGACTAGAAGTTCATGGCACTAGTGCCGCTCACCCTGCCCTCCCACGCGTGCGGTCCCAACAGCAAAATCGCAATGTGGTGTTTGATGTCCATGGCGTGACATCTCTAGACCCTGCCGCCGCTCAAGTGCTGCTTGAGATTGTGAGTGGGTATCGCGAACGCGGGACTAGGGTTTTCTTCTGCAGAGTACCCAGTCGCAGGTCTCAGGTGTGGAAACTCATGCTCGCGAGTGGCATCGTCGAGGTCTGTGGTGGAGAATCGCATTTCTTGAGGGGAGTTGAGCAGGCGCTTGAGATGGCTGATCACGAGGAGAGAGCCGATAGTCTGAGAGAAGATGGTGGGAGTGTTGAAATGGGTAGAGCAGCGACCACTTGAGTCTTTGATGCTTGTACAGAGAAAAGAAACACGTTTTTGACGACGAATGAGGTATGAAGAAGAAGGTACGCTACAATGTTACTGTTTGAGTATAGAGGGAATGAGTAGATGGCTTGTACCGTTTTATCCCCTGCTTCCAAATTGGAGTCACAATCGTCTAATGATAGGTGATTGATCTCTGGTGTCTCTGCATCATCTCATGTGTTTCTATCACTGTATCACGCCTTCAAGCTGCATGCAGGACAGATAGATCTCCCTCCTCTGAAGTCAGGGTCGTATCGTCAACAATATCTTTCCATGCTTGATTCTTGCATTACTCTTCCAAACATCCTGGTCCATAGACAAAATTTGTCGAAAAGTGTCGCTCGGAGATGTGCTCTTGTTAAAGATCCCTTTTCGAGCGCCTGAACCTTCTGTTGTTGATCAGGATCCAATTTGAGGTTTTCGAAAGACACGCGAACTTTTCAACTCCTGGTTCCATCATGGGCCCTAGAATATATGGTCCCCGTCAAATGATTTCCAGCCCGAGTTATTCATATGCCATGATATCCACAGGACTCCGTGGATAAACACATCGATTGTGTATGAAATGTGGGTTGGAGTTGTTGAAACTGACATTTCTAATCATGATACTCTAAGCATTACCACCCTCAAGCACCTCGACCACACCACCAACCAAATGCAGACTACCGGTAGCAAGCACCATAACCTCATCGTTGTGCTGTCCGGCAACTTCTCTAGCAGTCTTGACGGCATCTTCGACTGTTCTGAGCACACGCACATCACACGTCTCATCTACACCCCTCCAAGTCTCGGCAAGAGCATTCTGCACACTCAAAGTCTCGACATCTGAAGCGTTGGTGTTCATGCTCGTGAGGTCGGGACGGAAGCCTGACTCGGCGTAGGTGGTGTTTGTGCAGAAGAAGGCGTGAGAGAAAGGTTTTTGATCGCCCAAGGCAGATACGAGAGTCTCGTGTAGCTTCAATGCCAGTGAAGAGGCGTCACGCGTCTGCTGATTGAAGATCAGGATGCGAGTGGATGATGTTGTGGATGGCGAGATGAGGCTGCCGAACCAGCGGGCGGCTAGCTCGATACTCTCGAGTGTGTGGCCACCATCTATGTGCCATTTCAGGTTTGGTGTAGTGGTGTCTGCGCGTGTTTCGCAACGACCGCCTAAGTGGACTTCTTCGAGGCCTTTGCGGAAGGCTGGAGGTAGATAGGTGGAGGTGGGCAGGTCTTCGACGCCCATGCGGCGCAGGTATGCAGCAGCGGCGGCGATGGCGACAGAGGCATTTGTCTTTTGGAAGTCTGCGGCAAGACCCAGTTTGATGTTTTCGAGTTCGGGATGGGTGCTGATAACCTCGAGCTTGGTGTTTCTTTCGGCGGCACGCTCGTGTAGCACACGAATGGCTTCGTCAGGTTGCGGCGCAGAAAAAGCAGGGACGCCAGGCTTGAAGACACCAGCCTTGTGCCAGGCGATTTTATCGATTGTGTCGCCCAGCATGGCAACATGGTCGATGCCCAGGCTTGTGACAGCAGTGACGCTGGGCTTGACGAGAATGTTTGTGCTATCGAACTCGCCTCCAATACCGCACTCTATGACAGCAGCATCGACACCTTCGCTTATGTACGTATGCAGTGCCATCAAGGTCAAGAAGCGGAAGTAGACAGGCTTGGTGTCCTTGCTGGTGGGATCGGCATGGCCAGCAGCTTTTGCGGCAGCTTCGAGTCTGTTCCACGTCTCGAAGAAGTATTTGGCAAATTGCTCCTCAGTCAAGGGCTTGTTGTTGATCTGGATGCGCTCGCGCACGAATCGCAAGTGGGGTGAAGTGTAGAGACCGGTCTTCTTGACTTTCCCTTCTGCGACGTATTGACCGAGGATGGACGAGACAAAGGAGCTGGTCGAACCTTTGCCTTTTGTTCCGGCGACATGGACGGCGTTCAGTCTGTCGAAGTCGGCGGGCTGCAGACAATCGCGTCAGTCGTGGATACCACTTGTCTTTGTCATGGGCCAACGCACACCTCATAGCCGAGCTTCTTGACCCATTCGATCATCTCAGGGATGGCATTTTGGTTCATGGCCCTTCCAGACTTGCGGATGGCGTCGACGATGGAAAAGTTGCTCTGCAGCGTGTTCAATGCCGCTACGGCTGCCTGTCATGCTTGGTCAATCCGATATCTTCAGACGAGCGTCCTTGAAAACATACATTGTAGTCACCCTGCATCCTGACGGTAAAATGGAAGTTACGACTGGACGCTTTATGGATCAACGACGGCTTCCATGCACGCGACAAATAATTCATGGGCGCATAAGCATGTTGAGAGAGCTTTGGCGACATCCCACCTTTGACGTCTTTGCTTGGGCCGACGTCGGCAAGCGTCAATCTTCCTCCACGAACTTCTTATCTCTTTGCTACTTCCCTGCGTGTAGCTCCATACCAACAACCGATCCGGACTCTAGAATTGGTTGAATGAACATGATACCGATATTTCTCAAACGAATCGCAGAACCTCCTGCGTCCGACCTCTCGATGAAAAGCTCGGCACCCTTCCGAAGGTGGATCTCGGTTCTGTCGCTTTAACGTACAATATCTCGAAGCAGTATCCATGCCTCTGCAACTAATTTCGGAACAATATCAATATCTCTACGACTAAACCACAGAATAGATTAAACACCCGAAAATGTCAAGATTTTATCATGTGCTCCGTAAGAAGCTATATAACATACTCACCCTCTAGACACTCAGTAACCCACCACACAACTTTGACTTCATCCAAGTATTCCATCCTATACACCTGCTCACCGCCAATAAGAATATGCCGATCCTCAACGTACAAGGTGCAAACCTGCACTATGAAATCTTGGGCTCCGGACAGCCTCTCCTTCTCATCACTGGCGCCGGCGGCAATGGCTCAGCCTGGCATCCAGCAGCCCAGCACCTATCTCAACACTACACCACAATCTGCTATGACCGCCGCAACCACTCGGCAAGCACTATCACTGGCCCCCAAGACTACTCCAACCGCCTGAACACAGATGCCTTTGACGCTGCCTGTCTCATCAAACACTTCAGTTCCTCTGGCAAAGCAATCGTCGTCGGAAACTCGTCTGGTGCCATTGTAGCTATGCATCTGTTGCTCAGCCACCCCGATTGTGTGGACATGCTTGTGTCCCACGAGCCTCCTGCTTTTGGCGCTTTACCTCCAGAGTTCCGCGCCAAGGGAGAAGCTGTAATTAATCATATCTATGACAGATACAGAACCTCTGGCCCGATCGCTGCTATGGAAGAATTCACCAGTAGTTTGTTTATGGGAAGTGAGAGCGAGCTCATTTGTGAGCTCATGCATCCGGCAACCTCCCACGAGGTTCGTGCAAATTGCCTATTCTGGTTTGAATTTGAGCTTAGACAATATCCTTGTTCAGACGTCGATGTCCCTGGTCTTGTCAAGCTCAAGGAAAAACTTGTCCCTGCTGCTGGCATAGATTCGGGGGACGGGGTTGGGGTTGCGCCCATCGCTGCCATTGCCGCTGCTACTGGCAGAGATATTCTCAGGCTTCCTGGTGGTCATATTGGTTTCATGATACAGCCTCAAACGTGGAGTGAGGCACTTGCCAAAGGTATCCAGGCATACTGAGTTCCTGGCTTGAGCTCAAGCGCAAAAAGGAAAATCACATGTGATACTGGAATCAAATATGCTACAAGATATGGAGTCGTACTCAGCAGACAGCATCTACTTAGATTGTTGTTTGCCATATTGTAAATGTACAGATCATTTCCAACAAGACCGTTCGAGAAAAAAAAAAAAAATACATTGTGTATTTTTGCAAATGCTTTTCAATCCATGGCATGACTATAGTACAATAAGAAGGGTCATAGCCTCATAAATGTAAGGTATCTTTCTGGACTTCAGCAAAGTCCAAGGGTCCAGCCCTATGTATTTCCCGATCTCGTGATCGTTTCAGAAACGCTCTCTTGAGCTCCATACTCCTATGCTGAATGCCGTGGTAGCGGTGCATAACCGATCGAGCAGTTTACTTCATGTTGGCGTTGGTGGTCGACTCAGTCGAGACGGGAACACCCTTGATGCCCTTCTCTCCAGGCTGGTTGCTGCCATTGTCGATGCCAACGTTGGTGACACCAGAGTCGGAAGCGACGGGAGCCTCGCCAGGGGCCTTGCCCTCAGTGTGGCCAGCTGCGTTGGGGGCACCTTCACCGTGCACTGAATTTGTTGTTAGGATAATGTTATGGTGGTGACAAGTGAGCTGTATCTACATACTCTGAGCTTGCTTCTTGGCTTCCTTCTCGGACATGCCAGCGCCACCGGGGACCTTAGAGTGAGGCATTGTTGGATATGTGTGTGGTTGATTGGTCTGTAGAAGATTGAGAATTGAGTTGTGTGTATGTGAGAAAGAAGAACAAAAAGTGTTTTGCAAAATATATACGACTTCCGTTCGAGAGAGCTTACAGTACCTGATGTCATCATCCATCTCATGACGCACAACTCGATCTGAGATGACAGTCATGCTTTGATTTGCGTGTGCAGATTTGAGAAGAACTCCACCTTTTTGATCCTTCGTCGTTGGTCAACGCTACGATTGTTGAGCTGCTTTGATCGTGTTGGTGTCTTTCGATCATCATGACCGGACGTGGTAGCAAAGATTTGGTATGCGACGGCGAAAACACATTGCTCGCAATAATCTCTTGACTGAGATCTGTTGCATCAATACACCAATAGTCAAATTGCTATACTAGATAGTTATTTGGCATGTTTCTATAGCAGTATGGCTGCACCATCGATTTTGTGAGTATGTTACCTTTAATATGCAGTACTTGCACAGCGGCCGGGCCTTGATGAGCTATTCTGAGCTCTCATTGTACACGTCTGGTAATATGCTGTCCGACCGCAGAAGCGTGTTTGTACCTGCATCGAACCGACATGCAGATTCAGGAGTCAAGACACAGATCCCATCACGTGCTGCCTGTATACCGTTGATTGTTGTGCAAAAAAATGATGGACGTTGTTGAGGCTTGTGATTTGTTTGAGCCTCCACCACATCGGACCAGCGATCTCCCGAGATCAGCATGACAGATTCCTCAAACGACAGTCGCCAAGCGCTGCAAGGATTTGTTGACCCTGACTCGATGAGACTCAAGCCCAGCAGAAGTGCTGCGCGATCAAATTCGAGAATTACTCGTCTTTGCCATGGAACAAGGCTTGGAGGCTGCTTACACAAATCGTGGCTTCCTTGTGGTTGTTCGAGCTGCCAAACAGCACCTCGAAAGTGGTCAAAAAGTTCGGAATCACTCCTCTGTGAGAAGACTTCTAGACTCTAAAAGGTCTGGCCAAACGGTTGCACAGGCTAGATCTACGTCATTGAAGTAACGACGGCCGCGGTCAAGGAAGAGCGCAACTTGGACGGCCGAGGGCTTTTCGCTCTCTGACAGAGGCGTCAACATCAAAATCGACATGGAAGAGTGTGCCCTACCATCAGAATGGTAGACCCGTCGAGATCCCAAGCTTCGTCCTTTCGATCGACGAGCCCTCATCGTGGCCTCATGTCACCAACTTCAACATCATCGCAATCTTGCTCCGGGTCGCTCTTTTCCAGTCTGACCGACATCAATTCTTTGCTCGAATTCCTAAGCGACGATGACCGGCCTACCTTCTTGATCGAGGTCCTTTCTTCGAATGTTGCTGTTCCTCACATTCCCCGTGTCGTATTCCAGAATGCCGCTTTTACCTCGTTCCTCGAGCGAACCGTCACCAAAGACTCGTATGATGACTGGCTTCGATCGCTATCTACAAGCGTAGCCATACCTAGTAACCGACCCGTGAAACCCTTTGGAGGAAGAGCCTGGTCAAGCAAACGTTTCCGCAATGCCTGGCGCGTTGTCTATTGCAGTCAATGGGAAGACGATAGGAGGCTCGACAGCGTCGCCGAAGCAAGTACAGAGCCAGACACTCCTAGCCATGAAGACTCAGACATGGCAGACTCAGAGCATGATCATCATTCTTCTTGGTCAGATGCACAGGGACAGATCATTGACTGGACTCGATTTCCTTCAAAAGTGCGTCAGTCGACATGGATTGACTTTATCAAAACATACCCTTTCGAAAAGACCTATCTTGGACCCATGTCGCGATGGCCGGATGAGTTACGAAGATTGGCAGTGCAGATCATGTTCTCACCCTTTCCCAGGATGGTTTACTGGGGAGAAGACCAGGCCATTCTCTACAACCAGGCTGCATCAACTTTGCTTGGTTCCAAACATCCCAGTTTTGCTCTGGGAAACCGTTTTGTTGATGTTTGGGGTCCTGAGATACATGAAAAGCACATGAAGATGATTAGAGCATCCCTCGACCGAGGCACAGTGGCCCAGGCCAAAGAGATGGAAGCCATTCTGGAGCGTAACGGCTTTATTGAAGAAACATACTGGGACGTCGTCTTACAGCCCTGCAGCGGTCCTGATGGTAATATGGTCGCCGTCTTAAACACATACCAGGAATGCACCTCTTCTGTTTTCCAGCATCAAAGGCGCACAATCATCGACAGAATCCAAGCCATCATACCCACCGTTGACAACTTTCCCGACCTCTGGACATCAGTAGCGAATGAGCTTCGGAATAACCTTCACGACACAGCATACTTATTATTCTACACAGCAGTCAACCAACCTAATGAGTCAGGTTATGCTCATGCCATTGATCGTGTGGATACCTTCCAATTGGAACTACAGATAGTATCAGGAGTCGCTGGGCAACCTTTCGAATCTGTCGTTCATGTGGGCGAGCGATTTCCCAGACCCTCGTTAGGAGCTGTTTTCGCGGAAGCTCGCAAGACCCAACAAGTCATTGTACTACAACAAGACAGGCTTCCCCCAGAGCTAGCTCTGCTCATTCCAGACCGCGGATTTGTGACTACGGCTTGTGTGTTGCCCATCGCAAGTGTATCTGGACAGCAGATTGCTTTCGCTGTTCTTGGAATGAACCCGCGAAGACAATTTACTGATGAATCACGTCTTTTCCTCAGCCATATGAACGATTTAATATCCAAGGCCGCTGCTTTGATTTCTCTCCCCGAGGAGCAAAGGCGAGATCAGGAGAAGTTTGAACAAATCAACTTGGCTCTCTCCCAGCAGCTGCAGATCATTGCCTTGAAGGCCGAGAAGAACGAGGAGACATTTACCCGTATGGCGCAAAACGCGCCCTTCGGAATGTATGTTTTGCTTATTCTTTCTTCCGTTTGTTTTCGAGAAGTTATGAATTGGACTGACCTGAATGCATAGGTACATGTTTGATCGCGACGGCAATCCAATATACGTCAACAATGCATACCTTCGACTGATTGGCCTCAATCGTGATACGTTTGAACAAGCAGCGTCTCGTGGACTAGCATGGAAAGACACCATCTATGAAGAAGATATCGATTTGGCTTCAAACATATGGACCCGAATGAGGGATTCGAAGACAGCGCAGACATTTGAGTACCGAGTTAAAATACCGCCCACACAGCCCGGCGAGAACTTCGGCATCCGAACACTGGAGACAATTAGTTTTCCAGAGATTGACAACAGCGGCAGAATCGTGACAGTGCAGGGATGGCTTATGGATATTTCTCCTCGCAAGCGCTTGGAATCTCTCATGGCACAACGTCTAGAGGATGCTCTTGAAACTAGAAGAGCATCGGAGAATTTTATCGATATGGGTATGGTGGCCAAACCTGCTTTTACACTGCTTGTGCTGACTAGAACTAGTATCGCACGAGATGCGCAATCCGTTGTCAGCCATACTTCAGCTTGCTGATGGTATCCTCGGCTCGTTCGATTTTGAGCCAGCAAAAGATCCTGTTTCCCTACCAGCTGACACAGTCAATATGATGATTGATGCAGCTCAGACTATCGTAAGTTCAACTGAGGCAAAGGCTGAACATTCATTAGACTGACTTCGGCCTACAGACTCTATGTGCTCAACATCAGAAATGCATTGTAAGTTTATGGTTAGAGGTCATGTGTTCTGTCTCAGTAGTGAATCGACATATGCGATTTGGTTCCGCCAATGCGTGTCGCGTTCGTGAAAACCTATCGATGTTGATTGATACATGGCGCGTTTGACACAAACCACATGAAGATCATGCTAATTTATGTCAACAGGTCGATGACATTCTAACTCTGTCAAAATTGGATTCTTCACTGCTTGTCATAACTCCGGACAAGGTTCATCCACCTACGCTAATCGAGAAGTCTCTCAAGATGTACGAAGCCGAACTTGCGAGAGCGGACATCGAAGCCAAACTGGTGATCGAACAGAGCTACGTTGACGCCCAGTTGAATTACGTGATGTTGGATCCCAGCAGAGTTTTGCAGGTCATTATCAACCTGCTGACCAACGGAATCAAATTCACTCGAGACTGCCCAACTCGAAAGCTCTCAGTATACTTGTCAGCGTTTGAACAGCCGCCGGTCGGAGGACAACGCAGTGTCAGCTTCATCGAGCCTCGGCCACGACAATCGAGTCTTTCTACCTCACCAGAGTGGGGCCCTGGGGGAGAGGTATATATCCAATTTGCGGTGCAGGACACCGGAAAGGGTCTGACGGAAGATGAGTTGAAGCTGCTTTGGCAGCGATTCAGCCAGGCCAACCCCAAAACATACAAGCAATATGGTGGCAGCGGTCTCGGTCTGTTCATCTCTCGCGAATTGACCGAGTTACAAGGCGGTCAGATTGGTGTTCACAGCGAAGCAGGTGTTGGAAGCATCTTCATGTTCTACATCAAAGCTAGGCGCTGCGTTGACGAGCCAAAGACCCGGCAAACTAGCTTCTCTGCCCCCACGGCCACCAGTCCAGTGCTACTGCCGCACACGGCATCAGAGGCAAGGAGAGCCAATGTCAGTGAAGGCTCCGTGCATACGCTTTCTTCACTGTCCCGGACTGTCGCCCCCGAAGATATTCATATTCTGATCGTTGAGGACAACAAGATCAACCAGCGCGTAAGTTCTTGTCATATCAACTGTATATCATATCTTTCGCTGATGAGATTGTCATAGGTCATGTCGCAACAGCTGCGCAAACTGGGATGCGTCGTCCACACAGCAGACCACGGCCAAGACTGTCTCGACTTCCTCGAAACGACAGTCTTTACTTCCAACTCCAAAAACACACCACTCTCTGTCATCCTCATGGATCTAGAGGTGAGTCCTCTGTCTTCTACAACGCACTCTTGCAGACTTTGAATACTGACTACTCTCCAGATGCCAGTAATGGACGGCCTGACCTGCGTACGAAGAATCCGCGAACAAGAAGCTACAGGCAAAGTCACGGGTCATGTTCCTGTGATAGCAATTACCGCCAATGCACGAAGCGAGCAGATCAATATTGCCATGGAGGCTGGTATGGACACTGTTGTGACCAAACCATTTAGAATTCCGGACTTGGTGCCTCGGATGCAGTCGCTGTTGTCTGAGTACCCAGCCAAGTGAAGATTGTCGAGGAGCTACGGATAACTTTCTACTCATGTGGCTCAGCCAAGCAATCACCTGCCAAACAAGTCGCGTCTGTCATACGACATGGCACCTTACTGGCCCCAGCATTGATCTCGGACCAATTTGGATGCCGGGACAAGATTGACCTCTTCCCACGCGAACTTCAACCAAAGCAGGTCAGCGCAGAGAAATCTCAGGACATACCAGCAGTTCACACAAAGGAAAGTGCGGGTGCGCAACCCGCACCTTCCAATTATTTTCTCCAAGTAGAAAAGCCCAAGATACTTTCAAAACAAGAAGCTTTAACTAATTCAACGTTTGGGATTATTCGGGAACCAAACAAATAGACGGTACTGGGGGTTTTTGGGAGTGTTAGAATAGAGATAGCGCATTTGGCTTGTGTCAAAACAGCCAACCTAATTTATACCACAGGTCTCGAAAGAGTATATGAATGTCTCGTCAAATCTATATGTACATTTGCTCTCGAAAGCTAGTGAACACAAAATCGCCCTCTTGCCGTGACGAATTAAACCATATAACAGAAGTATTAATATACGGTGTAGATTGTAAGCTAAGGAATAATACAGTATATACAAGCGGGGTTCTAGCCAATCTCAAAGGCGGCACGGAGGAATTTGGCTGGGGGTATCATGAAAAGGCACAAACGAAAAAGGAAGGGATTTCGAACCCTTGAAAAAGATGGCTGACTGTGCAAAGTAACAAGGCCGGTGGGAACGCAAGAAGCTCGGCCAAAGAGACAAAAACCAAAGGCTTGAGATGGGTATGTGCAAAAGACCAGTAGATCTTGTGGTCGCAACGAATATGCAGAGATAGAAAGGAAGGAGAAACTGAACAAATGAAAAGAAGCTGATCCAAGAAAAGCAATGTCCAAGAGTGACATATCACTCGCGTTGCATACCGGCGAACGCGACAAGGCCATCACAGAGCTCTTGCCATGGTGTCTTGGAGTTTGGTTCGTCGTCTTCGGACGAGTAGTCGAATTTCTCACCGCATGCGGTGCACAGATGCTCCTTTTCGCAGCAAGGTGATTGGCTCGAGGAGGTTTGAGTTTCGGTAGTTTGTTCTTCCTCGGGTTCGTCCTCAAGCTCGTCTGAGACCTCGTCTTCAATATGGACAATCTCAATTGGCTCTGTGTATTGAGACTTGATCTCGGATTTTGTGAAAGAGGGCTGGAAATCGGTTTGGGTGCCCTGAGTAACAGGATCCGCCACTTCGGTCTGTACGATTTGGTCCTCGGAAGGCTGTTCTTCGGTCTGGGTGGATTGCTCAGAGTAGACAGACTTGACAACAGGCGAGGCAGGAATGTCAAAGTGTGAATCTATTAGGGCGCCTTCCTCGGTTTGCGCCTCGGCCTCATCAACACGCTTGAGAGTGATGGACTTGACTCTTCCATGCTGGTGCTTGCGAGTTTCAAGCTGCCAGTTCCCCTGGTCTTCGGGGTTGATAGGAGTCTCGGTCTCAAGACCAGGGAAGTCCTTGATGTCAGCAGATGTGGCGCGGTTCTTCTGTCTTCTTGAGCGTAAACGAGCATCAACGCTGTCCCAATCAGCCTTCCACTGAGCAAAGTCTTCGGCGAGTAGGACATGGTTGTTGTGATCGTAATTCTCCTTCTGCACCTCGAGAGCTTGCAGTTGCAACTTCAAGAACAAAAGTTCTGAGTGGTCAAAGCCCAAGTCCTGCTTCAGGCTGTCGTTCTCAGACTTGACAGTCATGAGTTGAGTGGTCAATTCTTCAATCTGTACGGCTTGAGTGTCGCAAACTTCCTTGCTCTGGTCATAACGCTGGCGCAGGGATTCGTTCGCTTTGGCAAGACGCTCGACGACTTCTTGCAAATCAGCAACAAGACGGTCATCAGTGGTCTGAGTGAAGACATCGGCATAGTTGTTGATCCACACAGAAGACTCGGCCATTTCCTTCTGGACTTCTTCCTCAGTTTGTGTAGCCGAAGCAGCATAGGCAATTGCAAGGCCATGCTTGGAGTCATCATTGGTCTGAGTGAAGCCGTCGACATACTCACAGGTGTCGGCCATCCAGACGTTGGACATCCGAGACTTGTTGGAATGCTCAGGAGACAGAATACGTTCGCGAGCTTCGTGACCTTGAGAATGATCCTCAGTGCAGAGTCGTCCCGGAAAAGAGTTGCGACGGTCTCTCTCTTCAATCGAGGAACCTGCATCGCTGAAACCACCGTCATTGACCATTGCTTCGAGGGTACAGAGTTTCTCGTTGAATTCGGAGAGCGAATCATCCTGGAGTCCAAGACGTAGGATGTCACCACCAAGATTGTTCAGGCGCAGCAACAGCTTTTGAGCAGGGTCGGAAGGATGATAGGGGGCATTGTGATCGACGGATTTTGAGTCATCAGTGAAGTAGTCGGAGAAGGGAGAGCCCTGGAAGCGCAGGTTGTTGAAGTTGTTACTGGCGAGATGAGGGGAGCGGAGAGGAGTAGCAGGGTTGTTGCGCGGTTTGATGGTGTCGTTTGGGGTATAGGAATAGTCCTTTGGCGAGTCGCGAGAGAAATTGAGACGCGCCAGAGGTGAAGCGACGTTGGAAGATTCGGTATGCGAAGAGCGGGTCGAGAGTGAAGACTGATTACGCACATGTTGGCCGGTTGTGCTGGATCGAGGAGTGGGTTTGGGCCTGGCGTGCTCGCTCTTGTGGTAACGCGTCGAGGGCCCAGGGACGTGCCATGATTTTGTGCGCGGAGCTCCTGAAGGAGTGCCTAGAGGAGTCGTGGCAGCGGAAGACGAGCCCTGTGATGTCTGGCTAGACACCGACGACGAGAAGTTCGTCGACATGGCCATAGGCGAGGAATGTGGTGGTGGATTTATCAAGGTTGTCGCGTTATCGAAAGAACGGTTGGAAGCTTTGCGATACTCCATGTTTTTGAAATGAGCGAATTGCGGGTGGCTGGGAAGCCCTTGGGAAGCACACTCCTGCCTCCTCTGCCGTTTTGTATCCGTTTCACAATGATGAAATCGTGTACAAGATGCTAGTGAAAGGTGAAGATGGGTAAAAGTCAGCTGGAGCAAGCTATCTTGATACAAGTGAAATCTGATGTGTTTGAAGGTGCAAACAAGCTGCAGACAGCTTCTGGGACAAGTAAACGGCTGGAAAGTATAAACCGAGGGCCGGGTTACCTTGCGAGGGGCCAGAGGTGCTGCGGGAGGAAAAGCTTGGCTCGGCTCATGCTTCGCTCTTGCCGGATGCGCCTTGCATATCTGAATAATTATTGACGTTTGACTCAACTTTAACCTCGACCCTGCCTGCATCCATCGTGACTGTGTCGCTCTTTCTCTTTCTTGGTCTAGCTTCCACTCAAGCATATCATTAGACATGGTACGCACATTGAGCGATTCTGCTCACCAACCTCAAACTCTACAGCTGCTGATCCAGATCGACAGGCAGGTGTACAGCCAACTCTCCCCGAAGTGCGCCAATTGCTTCAACAAGCAATCAAGCTGCCCAACCCTCCGAACCTCGTCCCGCTATGCGCCTCAATCTCATCCGAATTCTTGACTCCCTCGTCCATATACCTGAAGGTCTCGGCAAAGTCTGTCAATCCCTCTGCGACGCATCCATGACAATAGCTCATTGAGTCTCTTCACAGTGCCAAATCGAAACACTCCTTCCTCTTCGAGAGTGCTGCCACCACAGAGACCATCGGCCGCTACAGTTTCGTCGGTGCTGATCCGCGACACATGCTCAAGACTGGAGAAGGTCATGGCCCCGAAACAGACCCTTTGCCCATCCTAGACCAGGAGCTGTCAAAATGCCGCGTCGCAGACATCCCAACCCTCAAGCTGCCTCCCATGACCGGTGGTGCTGTTGGTTATGTTGGCTATGACTGCGTCAAGTACTTCGAGCCTAAGACCCGCCGCCCCATGGAGGATATCCTCAAGGTCCCCGAATCACTATTTATGCTGTACGACACCATTGTTGTTCTGGACCACTTCTTCCAAAAGGTCATGGTCGTCACATATGTCAAGGTGCCCGAGAATCTCGACAACTTGGATGTTGCCTACGACGAGGCCAAGCAAACAGTCAACCGCATGCTGCATGTCTTGAAGAAGTCCGATGCTGTTCTCCCCACACAGGAGCCTGTCAAGTTGGGCAATGAATACACTTCGAACATTGGACAGGAAGGTTACGAGAAGCACGTCCACAAGCTCAAGGAGCACATCAGCTCCGGAGACATCATTCAAGCTGTTCCCTCGCAGCGCATGGCCCGCCCCACCTCTCTTCATCCCTTTAATATCTACCGCCATCTTCGCACAGTCAACCCCTCGCCATACCTCTTCTTCCTTGACTGTGAAGACTTCCACATCGTCGGTGCATCGCCTGAGCTCCTTGTCAAGGCTGAGAACGGTCGCATCTACACCCACCCCATCGCTGGCACTGTCAAGCGTGGTCCCACAGCCGAACAAGATGAGCAGCTTGCTCAAACATTGCGTGACTCCCTCAAAGATCGTGCCGAGCACGTCATGTTGGTCGATTTGGCCCGTAACGATGTCAACCGCGTTTGCGACCCCCTGAGTACTCGTGTCGACAAGCTCATGGTTGTGCAAAAGTTCTCTCACGTTCAGCACCTGGTGTCAGAAGTCAGTGGTGTCTTGCGTCCCGACAAGACGAGGTTCGATGCTTTCCGCAGTATTTTCCCTGCCGGTACTGTATCTGGTGCACCCAAAGTCAAAGCTATGGAGCTCATCGCGGAGTGCGAAGGCGAGAAGCGCGGTGTTTACGCTGGTGCCGTTGGTTACTTTGGTTACAGCAGTGTAGACCTCACGACCGGTCAAGAGACTGAGGGCGCCATGGACACTTGCATTGCTCTACGAACAATGCTCATCAAGGACGGTGTGGCGTATCTGCAAGCTGGTGGTGGCATCGTTTTCGACTCTGACCCATATGACGAGTACATCGAGACCATCAACAAGCTCAAGGCCAACACGACATGTATCGAGCAGGCCGAGAAGAAGCACTACGACGAGCAACAAGAAGATGTTGAGATTTCCAAGTCAGATGAGAAGCCTCACGTTGATCTGGCTGCCGGATAGATATTGGATGTGTCTTCAAAAAGTAACAAACTCAAAATATAGATGAAAGTTATGATACCCAAAGTTGTGGCGCATCGCAGGTGTTGCTGAGTTCAAGAACAGTTCGTGTCCACGGTGGATATGCACACAAGAGGGCGACTTACTAGCATCGATACCCATGATCCCGTCTTCTTCAACCTCATTGATCGTCTCGGTAAGCACAGCAGGAGATACCATAATTGGTATTCGTCCCATTTCCCACAACCATTCTGATCTCGAACCACCATGATCATCCTCCCTTTTGCTCAAGGTCTACCAAATTCTCGACCAAAAACATCATATACTGGTCATCCGTGTCTCCGACATCCTTGATGTGCTCTCTAGTGCAAAAAGAAGGGTGATCAAAATGCAAAACATACAGCAGCAGGGATTCCCACGTGGTCACCCACCGTAGTACTAATCTGCCGTTCAACTGCTTATGTATGGCAGAGCGGACGGGATGCCCAGTTTTCAGCTGACT